ACTCTAGCATCCTAATGCTTTTTACAGCTTTTCTGGACAGGGCAGATTCTCCTTCAAGGGGTGTATAATAGGAAAATCCCACTTGTTTTTTAAAAGCCATTTAGTTATCAAATCACACAATCATGGCTGGCCTTTGAGGTAAGCCCCTTCCCTGCATGCAGTACTCCCTCTTTTTTCTTCCAGCCGTTGCTGATACATTTCTGCAAATAGGGTGCCTCTCCCTCTATTGTTGGAAAGCTGAGCTGGTAAAAATGTCTTTCATCTGCTCATATAAAAATATCTTTCTAAATTAAATGTTATTTTTGTTAAGAAAAGCAAATTATATTTAACAGAAAAATTTTTAAATATTTTAAAATTTAAGGGGAAAAATCACTTCCAGTTTCATCCAGAAATAACCACTTTTGACATTTTAGTCTTTTTTTATTCATATATATGTGTGAATATCTCTGTATATGATATAATTTTCAACTGATATGTTAAGTAACTTTTCCACAACTGCTTTTATAGAATCACAGAATCTAGATTTAGAAGAAAACTCGAGGCCTTCAAGATCTTTCTTCCTGGTTTGAGGGCTTTGATTGGGTCTGCCTAGACACTGCTTGTATCCTCCAGGGACTGGAAGCCCAGTTTGTACCAAGAAAATCCATTTCTGGGTTGGAAAATTCTCATTCTGTTTTTGTCTCCTGAAATGACAGAATATGAATATGAATATGTCCTATTTGGATTTCTCTTCTCAGATTGAATATCCCTGGTTTCCATGATTATTCCTTGCTTGACAGAATTTTCAGAGCCACTCATGATGCTGGTCACCCTCCCCAGGGGAGTCTGTTCACTTATAACACCGCCTCCAGTCCCTGACATGAAGTCCCAGGTGCAGCCTGGCATATGTAATGTGCAGTGGGGCTGCTGCTTCCCTAACCCCAGACACTTGACCTCCAGTAACACTGCTCAGGATGGCACTATATTTTTAGCAGCTACTTTTACTGTAAACATTTGGGTTGGTCTTAAAAAGCCATCAGTCAGGATTAATTGGAGAAAGATAATGCCAGTATGAATGCTGCCTTTTCAAATCCAAAATCTATTTTGGGGAGTGGAAAGGGAGCCTAACATTGGTTGGAGTGTGTGTGTGTGTATGTGTGTGTGTGCACATGCACGTGCGTGTGCGTGTGTGTGTTTGTTCACCATCTATCAGATGTAATGCTGAGCACATTCATATCTTTATTATTATTATAGTTATTGTTACTGTCATGGCAGTTTCAGTTGGTTGAGGTCCTACTGTGCACTAGACATACATTAATTTCATTTCACAGAGCCCCAGGATAATTAATTGTTGTTTTACACATGAGGAAAGGAAGGCAGGGAAATTGGACAACTTGTTCCAAGGTCCCACACCAGTAAGATGTTTACGCCCATGTTCTACCCCTATATCGTATTGCCTCAGAAAAGTGCAACCACTGATCAACAGTCAAGTTCAGAGTGAGACTCCCGGGAATTCCCTGGCAGTGCAGTGGCTAAAGACTATGTGCTTTCACTGCGGAGATCCTGCAAGCTGATAAATGATCAGATTTTTAATATAGTTCAAAGGTTAAAGTCCACTGAATTTCTTGACAGATTCAATGTGGGGTGTAAGAGGAGTGAAATACAAAACTAAGGATTTTAGCCTGAGCAATAGGGCTGAGATAAAGAAGGCTGTGGGTTGAGCATGTTTTGGGGTAGCATTTGAGCATTTAGGGTTTTTTTGTTTTTTTTTTAAATAAATAAATTTATTTATTAATTTTGGCTGTGTTGGATCGTAGCTGCGTGTGGGCTTTTCTCCAGCTGGAGCAAACGGGGGCTACTCTTCGTTGCGGTGTGCGGGCTTCTCATTGCGGTGGCTTCTCTTGTTGTGGAGCATGGGCTCTAGGTGCGTGGGCTTCAGTAGTTGTGGCACATGGGCTCAGTAGTTGTGGCTTGTGGGCTCTAGAGCACAGGCTCAGTAGTTGTGGCTCATGGGCTTAGTTGCTCCACAGCCTGTGGCGTCTTCCTGGACCAGGGCTCGAACCCGCATCCCCTGCATTGGCAGGCGGATTCTTAACCACTGCGCCACCAGGGAAGTGTGAGCATTTAGTTTTAAACATGCTGATTTGTAGATATCTTAATAGACACTCAAGTGGAGATGCTAAGTTAGCAGTTAGCTATACAGGTATACCTTGTTTTATTACATTTTGCTTTTTGCACTTTGCAGATACTGAGCTTTTTACAAATTAAGATTTATGGCAACCCTGCACTGAGCAAATCTATTGGTGTAATTTTTCTAACAGCATTTGCTCAACTTGCATCTCTGTGTCACATTTTGGTAATTCTCACAATATTTAAAAATTTTTCGTTATTATTATACTTGTTATGGTGATCTGTGATCAGTGATCTTTGATGTTACTATTGTGAAAGATTATAACTCACTGAAGGCTCAGATGATGGTTGGCATTTTTTAGTAATAAAATAATTTTAATTAAGGTATGTACATTTTTTAGACAGAATGCTATTATACACTTATTAGACTACAGTGTAAACATAACTTTTATATGCACTGGGAAACTAAGATATTCATATGACTCGTTTTATTGAGATATTCACTTTATTGCAGTGGTCTGGAATCAAACCCACAGTATCTCCAAGGTATGCCTGTACAGTTTTGGAGATCAGGAGAGCAGCCTAAGCTAGATATATAAAATTGAGAGTTGGCACATAGATGATGTTTAAAGCCACCAGGCTGGATTAGATCACGAAGAGAGTGATCTCCCTATTATCTCCTCTGGATCTGTGATTAGATGTTTCCTAAATCTTCTCATTCTCTCCACCATGACTCATTGTGCTTTCAATTTTCTTTCTCTTCCTCCCTCTATGCTACAAGTCCCAGCAGTTTCTTCAGATCCAACATCCAGGTCATTAATTCTCTCTTTCACTGTTTCTAGTCTGTTATTTTACCTTTTAGAACTACATTTTCTTCATTCCTAGAAATTATTTTTAAAAAAATATGCACTCTATTTTAATAGCCTTTATCATATGTTTGACACATACCTTTGTCTTTATTTAAAACATAACATATATATTGTATAATCTTTATCCAGTAGTTTGTTATCTGAAGTTCTAATGACTCTGAAACTGATTCTCTTTACACTGTGCCTCCATCATGATACATTGTTTCCATGTATGCCACATGTGCACACGTGCATGCATGTGCATGTGTGTGTCTGTGTGTGTGTTTAATCTTTGGAGCTCATGTTTAGTAGGGCTTTGTGGGAATGCTGTGTAGCTGGATAAAGGGCCTGAACACTGGATTTGAAAATTTCATTCTACTAGGTGTTTCAACCTTGGGAAAATTTTTTTTTCTGTCTAAAAACAAACATTTAGATCTCCAGTTTTATTGAAGCCTTGGGCTAATTTTTATGCTAATTCTTCAGCCTGGTGGTTCCTGGACCATACGGTGTAAATTTGAATCCCAAACCTGTGCATGGTTGCAAATTCTCACACGACCTGTTCTCCCTCATCCCTGGGGATAGTTTCCTTGTTATTTCTCCATGTCAGTGGGGAAATATTTTTAGCTCACCTCTTCATCAGGTGCTACCTTTATGCAAGGGGTCCCATTTCCATCTTCCTATGAGGCATAGGCCATATTCTTATTTCTCACACTTATGTGGGCATTAACACTCAAGAGCAACCGTCCACTCACACACCTTCTACCAGCCACAGCCAGTTCACACACTGACCACTCTGGTTTTCAATTCTCCAGCTCCTGGCAGTTTCCTTTCTTTCCTGCAAATTTAGCTTTGCATTTAAAAGAACGTTATACTTTAGACAATATCTCTGTTTGTATCCAGAGTGTTTTCAGGTTACCTTATCTGTCACATTGATGGAATTGGAAGTCCCTTTAGGGGTGTTTGTGATGGTCAGATTAGCTCAGCAGGAACTATTTTCTAGAACAACAGGCATATTTGAGTGGCCCCTAGCTCCCTGTCATGTTGGAAGCATCTGCTCCTGTGAGGAGTTTGCATGGAGGGTGATCTACAGAGCACCGTTTGGCTTATTCCTGTGGCTCTGCCCACGCTGATGATTACTTGTTTCAGTTTGTGCCAGAACTGACCGAGGCGTATGTGGTGACGAATGAGCTAGAGACACATGGGACCAACTGCCATGACAGAGGCCCAGCCTGCCCTCGCCTGCAGGCCCCAGGACTGGCTGTCCAGGAATTCTGTGCAGGGACAACCAGCATGCCACATGCCATTCTAGCCAGTGACAGGGAATGAAGGGAAGGGGGACTGGTTATACCACAAATGGCTGCTTCCTGTGGCTCCAGCAGGATGATGTACTCCTGTTTACTATGTCTATTTCCTGAGCTGCTCCAAAGACGCGGGAACCCCAAACAAGTGCTGGTAAGGGCAAGGGCAGCCAAGAAGGGAAAGAATCTGAACTCTCTAAGGCCTCCAACTCATCAGCTGGGATGATGAGCAGAGCCTGGACATATCTGCCTGTTTGGCCACATTGAAAGGAAACATGAGGACTGACCAACAAGGCTGTGTGTACACCATAAGTGCTGATCAGTGACAGCCCCCCGTGTGTCATCCAAGGGAATGAAGTCAGGGGACTTCAAAGCTGCTCCAGGAAGCCTTGGCATAGAAGGAGTCTCTGAAAGCTGTTTCATGATCATTGTGTATCTGCCAGTCAGTGAAGGAGAAAAGGGGTGGATAGGAGAAAGGGCAGAGACCTTAAGTAAAGCCTTCAGCTTTCTCTCTTCAACAAAACCCCATCTGGCTGCTCATTGATGGGCTGAAGAACAGAACCATAGGGTCTTTGATTGGAAAGATGCCATTTAGTTCAACCTTCCAGCTAGTGCAGGTTCTGCAATCTCCTTGCCAGACAGCCTCCCACCATGGGGTTCTCACTGCTAACTTCATGGTAGGAATGATCTCATTTTAAGCCTCTTCTTATTTTGAGGTAAAAATCTGCCTTTCAGTCATTTCCACCTACACCCCATCCTCTCCTGGTTGCTGAGGAAGCAGCACCTCCTGCCTTCACTGGCTCAGGAACACAGAGAGGATTACCTGCGAGAACCTACAGTCTCACCCATGAGAACCAGGGCTCCTCGGACCCACCTCATCCCCAGGATGGCCATCCAGGAAAGGAAAGAGGCTGACCAGGGGGACAAAGGCCTGCCAGAGGGAGACTGGCTGACCTACTTCTTCACTTTCTTACTGGAGACTCAGTTAGGACCCCACCTGTACATAGGGAAGACATCCTCCCAGATAGGAAATCAAATAAAGTTCTTGGATGAGCACCGAAAGCCGAACTAGAAAGTTATTTTATCCTGTCCCTGCATATAAGACAGTGAATTGAAACCAAAAGTGTTCTGTGAAGATATTCAAAGGTGTCCTTTGAAGGCTGTTCCTCCTGGCAGGCAGGCCATTGTGTGTTCTCTGGGCTGTGTCCAGCCTTGGAGCAGAGGGATTGGAGTCTGGGCAGGTGCTTTGGCAGTGCCTCTAGAACAGGCAGGAGTAGCTGGGGGTTTCGTCCTTCAACGCACTGGCAGTGAGTCCCTATTTTCTATGTGTCTGCTGGAGGCCCATCATGGTTTTCAAATAATTGTGCTAGACACAGAAAAGGGGAGAAAACAGAAGTTGATTAGGACATGCGGACCTAACAAGGACTCAGAAGCCACACCACTTATATCCACCCCATCATTCTTCCTGCAAATATCACTGTTTGAGGACAAGGATTCCCTTTGACTAGCCCCAGTTCTGTGAGAAATAATGTTCCATTCAATCCCTCTCATTCTTTCATCCTAAAGAAAGTGTGTAAAACTGTTTTTAAATGTTTAAAAGGAGACAGGCATGTTTCAAGGGCCCACTTGAAAGTTTCTGACAAGTAGGTTCAAAAAAAGAAAAGAAAAGGGCTCTCTCTCCAGAGGGGTGGGGGCCCATGTATTCTGAAGGGCCTTCCCTCTGCAAATCAACTAGATGTTCGTGAAGCCTACCCTTTTAATGAACTGCTAGCCTCTTGGAAAGCATGTGGAAAAAGTAAGCTGAAACAGAATCAGTGGGCAGGGCAGTGAGCAAGCAAATGCTAAAACCAACATGGAATTTGGAGGTGAATCCTAGATTCCCCACATGGTGAATCTGAACTGAAACTGAAGCTCCCACATGAAGCTGGAATTATTTTACCCCAATTTTTTATTGTGGTAAAATACACACAACATACAAATTTCCATCTTAACTGTGTTTAAGTGTACAGTTTAGTGGTATTAAATACATTGATAATGTGCAACCATCACTACCATCTATCTCCATAACTCTTTTCATCATCCCAACTGAAATTCCATATGCTTTGAACAATAACTCCCCGTTCCCCTCTCCCCCCAGACCCTGAAAATCACCACTATACTTTCAATCTTTATGATTTTTTTAAGTCAGTCATTTAATTTTTAAATTATTTTTTTTAAGTTTTATTGGAGTGTAGTTGATTTACAATGTTGTGTTAGTTTCAGGTGTACAGCAAAGTGATTCAATTATACATATACATATATTCATTCTTTTTCAGATTCTTTTCACATACAGGTTATCCCAGAATATAGGTGGTCCCAGAATACTGAGTAGAGTTCCCTGTGCTATATAGTAGGTCTCTGTTGGTTATCTATCTTATATATTGTAGTGTGTTGTCTGTTAATCCCAAGCTCCTGATTTATCCCTCCCTGCCACATTTCCCCTTTGGTAACCATAAGTTTGTTTTCAATATCTGTAAGTCTGTTTCTATTTTGTAAATAGGTTCATTTGTATCATTTAAAAAAATTAGATTCCACATATGAGTGACATCATATGATATTTGTCTTTCTCTGTCTGACTTACTTCACTTACTATGATCATCTCTAGGTCACACCATGTTGCTGCAAATGGCATTATTTCATTCTTTTTTATGGCTGAGTAGTATTCCATTGTATATATGTACCACATCTTTATCCATTCCTCTGTCGATGTACATTTAGGTTGCTTCCATATCTTGGCTATTGTAAATAGTGCTGCAATGAACATTGAGGTGCATGTATCTTTTCGGATTTTGGGTTTCTCTGGGTATATGCCCAGGAGTGGGATTGCTGGGTCATATAGTAGTTCTATTTTTAGTTTTTTAAGGAACTGCCATACTGTTCTGTATAGTGGTTGTACCAATTTACATTCCCACCAACAGTGTAGGAGGGTTCCGTTTTCTCCACACCCTCTCCAGCATTTATTTATTTATTCATTTTTATTTATTTATATATTTTTGGTGTGTTAGTTTCTGCTTTATGACAAAGTGAATCAGCTATACATATACATATATCCCCATATCTCCTCCCTCTTGCGTTTCCCTCCCATACCCTATCCCCCCCCTCTAGGTGGTCACAAAGCACCGAGCTGATCTCCCTGTGCTATGCAGCTGCTTCCCACTAGCTATCTGTTTTACATTTGGTAGTATGTATATGTCCACCAGCATTTATTTTTTGTGGACATTTTTCCCCCCAGGTTTATTGAGATGTAATTGCCATATAATATAATATTGCATAAGTTTAAGGTGTACAGTGTGTTGATTTGACACACATATATTGTAAAGTGACTGCAACCATAGCATTAGCTAACACCTCCATTATATCATATAAGTACTATTTCTTTTTTGTGGTGAGAACATTTAAGATCTACTCTCATAGCAACTTTCAAGTGTATACTACAGCATTATTAACTATAATTACCATGCTATACATTAGATCCCCAGAACTTATTCATCTTATAACTGGAAGTTTGTGTCCTTTGACCAACATCTCCCCATTCCCCACCCCCACCCCCAGCCCCTGGTAACCACCATTCTAATCTCTGTTTCTATGAGTTCAGCATTTTGTTTGTGGACTTTCTGATCATCGCCATTCTCACCAGTGTGAGGGGATACCTCATTGTACTGATAGTTTTTGTTTGTTTGTTTTATTTAGTTAGTTATTTTGCCCAAGCAGTGCAGCATGTGGGATCTTAGTTCCCCGGCCAAGGATCGAACCTGCATCCCCTGTGTTGGAAGCAGGGAGTCTTAACCAGCGCCACCAGAGTCCCCTCATTGAGGTTTTGATTTGCATTTCTCTAATAATTAGTTATGTTGAGCATCTTTTCAAGTGCTTTTTGGCCATCTGTATGTCTTCTTTGGAGAAACGTCTATTTAGATCTTCTGCCCATTTTTTTGATTGGGTGGTCTGTTTTTTTGATATTGAGCTGCAAGAACTGGTTGTGTATTTTGGAGATTAATCCCTTGTTGGTTGCTTGACTTGGAAATATTTTCTCCCATTCTGAGGGTTGTCTTTTTGCTTTGTTTATGGTTTCCGTTTCTGTGCAAAAGCTTTTAAGTTTAATTAGATCCCATTTGTTTATTTTTGTGCTTATTTTCATTATTCTAGGAGGTGGATCAAAAAAGATCTTGCTGCAATTTATGTCAAAGAGTGTTCTTCCTATGTTTTCCTCTAAGAGTTTTATAGTGTCCAGCCTTACATTTAGGTCTCCAATCCATTTTGAGTTTATTTTTGTGTATGGTGTTAGGGAGTGTTCTAAATTTCATTCTTTTACGTGTAGCTGTACAGTTTTCCCAGCACCACTTATTCTCTAGTAGGTCTGTGTCTTTATTCCCGTCTTACCCCTAGCTTCTTCACGACCTTTTTTTTTTCTCTTAGATTCCATATATATGCATTAGCATACAGTATTTGGTTTTCTCTTTCTGACTTACTTCACTCTGTATGACAGACTCTAGGTCCATCCACCTCACTACAAATATCTCAATTTCGTTTCTTTTTATGGCTGAGTAATATTCCATTGTATATATGTGCCACATCTTCTTTGTCCATTCATCTGATGATGGACACATAGGTTGCTTCCATGTCTTGGCTATTGTAAATAGAGCTGCAGTGAACATTGTGGTACATGACTCTTTTTGAATTATGGTTTTCTCAGGGTATATGCCCAGTAGTGGGATTGCTGGATCATATGGTAGTTCTATTTTTAGTTTTTTAAGGAACCTCCATACTGTTCTCCATAGTGGCTGTATCAATTTACATTCCCACCAACAGTGCAAGAGGGTTCCCTTTTCTCCACACCCTCTCCAGCATTTATTGTTTCTAGATTTTTTGATGATGGCCATTCTGACTGGTGTGAGATGATATCTCATTGTAGTTTTGATTTGCATTTCTCTAATGATTAATGATGTTGAGCATTCTTTCATGTGTTTGTTGGCAGTCTGTATATCTTCTTTGGAGAAATGTCTGTTTAGGTCTTCTGCCTAGTTTTGGATTGGGTTGTTTGTTTTTTTGTTATTGAGCTGCATGAGCTGCTTCTAAATCTTGGAGATGAATCCTTTGTCAGTTGCTTCATTTGCAAATATCTTCTCCCATTCTGAGGGTTGTCTTTTGGTCTTGTTTATGGTTTCCTTTGCTGTGCAAAAGCTTTGAAGTTTCATTAGGTCCCATTTGTTTATTTTTGTTTTTATCTTAGTCTTGTTTATGGTTCCTTTGCTGTGAAAAAGCTTTTAAGTTTCATTAGACCCCGTTTGTTTATTTTTGTTTTTATTTCCATTACTCTAGGAGGTGGGTCAAAAAGATCTTGTTGTGATTTATGTTGAAGAGTGTTCTTCCTATGTTTTCCTCTAAGAGTTTTATAGTATCTGGTCTTAAATTTAGGTCTTTAATCCATTTTGAGTTTATTTTTGTGTATGGTGTTAGGGAGTGTTCTAATTTCATTCTTTTACATGTAGCTGTCCAGTTTTCCCAGCACCACTTATTGAAGAGGCTGTCGTTTCTCCACTGTATATTCCTGCCTCCTTTATCAAACATAAGGTGACCATATGTGTGTGGGTTTATCTCTGGGCTTTCTATACTGTTCCATTGATCTATATTTCTGTTTTTGTGCCAGTACCATACTGTCTTGATTACTGTAGCTTTGTAGTATAGTCTGAAGTCAGGCAGCCTGATTTCTCCAGCTCCGTTTTTCTTTCTCAAGACTGCTTTGGCTATTTGGGGTCTTTTGTGTTTCCATACAAATTGTAAAATTTTTTGTTCTAATTCTGTGAAAAATGCCATTGGTAATTCAATAGGGATTGCACTGAATCTGTAGAATGCTTTGGGTAGTATACTCATTTTCACAATATTGACTCTTCCAATCCAAGAACATGGTATATCCCTCCATCTGTTTGTGTCATGTTTGATTTCTTTCATCGGTATCTTATCATTTTCTGAGTACAGGTCTTTTGCCTCCTTAGGTAGGTTTATTCCTAGGTATTTTATTCTTTTTGTTGCAATGGTAAATGGGATTGTTTCCTTATTTACCCTTTCTGATCTTTTGTTGTTACTGTATAGAAATGCAACAGATTTCTGTGTATTAATTTTGTATCCTGCAACTTTACCAGATTCATTGATGAACTCTAGTAGTTTTCTGGTAGCATCTTCAGGATTTCTATGTATAGTCTATCTTTATGATTTCTGACTACTCTAAGTACCTCATGTAAGTGGAACCATACAGTTATTTGTCTTTCTGTGACTGGTTTACTTCACATAGTGGCTGTACCATTTTACATTCCCACCAACAGCACACGAGGGTTCCAAATTACTCCACATACTTGCCAACACTTATTATTTTCTTTTTTTTTTTTTATTAGTAGCCATCCTAATGCGTGTAAGGTGGTATCTCATTGCAGTTTTGATTTGCATTTCTCTAATGATTAGTAATGTTGAACATCTTTTCATGTGTTTACTGTCCATCTGTATATCTTCTTTGGAGAAATGTCTATTCAAATCCTTTGCCCATTTTTGAATTGATTTTGTTTTCTGGTTGTTGAGTTTTAGGAATTCTCTGTATATTCTGGATATTAATCCCTGATCAGGCTGGAATTCTTGAAGGGGTTTAAAATGGTCCTGGGTTGGTAATGCCGCATGGCAAAAGCAGGTGCAAACTCTTTCAGGAGGAAAGTAATTTCAGCTTATACATTCAGGACTCTTAGAGCTTAAGTTCAATCATATTTATGGTCAATTGAATTTCAACAAGGGTGCCAGACAATTCAGCAGAGAAAGAATCAATTTTTCAACAATTGGTACTGGGAAAACTGGATATCCACATGGAAAAGAATAAAGTTGGACCCCTGCCTCACATCATATGCCCCCTCCTCTGAGCCCAGAAGGGGTAGGCCTCTCTGTGGTCAGACAAGGAAGCTCCTGCATAGTGGTCACAGTCAAACAATGTCCGAGGCTGGGCTGCCTATGCCTACTTGACCCCACTCCATTCTCTCCCATAGAGCCCTGCCCTCCTACAGGTCTGGGCTTCCTTGATCCAGGGCTGATCTGGGCTTCTTCAGGGGCCAGAGTTAATAAAGCTTGATGCTTACAGCATAAGGCTAAATGAATGCCTGGATAAAGCCATCCTCTCTCCTGCTGAAGGAGTGGGCCCAGGCAACTGGGATGGGCAGGTGCCCCTGCCCCAAGCCACAGCTGATTGAACCAAGAATGCACACTTAACCCAAGAAGTGTCAGTTAGGCTTCTCCCTCCAGAGAGACACAAAGTAAGTAGTCAGGTGATATTGGGCACTGGGGCTGTGAAGTCTTGGAAAATAAGGGCATGCCAGGGCCAAGGCTGGAGCTAGAAATTGAGAGGTAGGGAGGGGAGAACAGATAGATGAAGGATCAAACCTCAGGGAGAAGCTAAGGTCAGATCTGGAAAGAGAAAGGCCTGGAGGGAGAGGAGCCTGGGCCCTGCTTCCTACAGATGAGTTCTATGGCCTGCTAATCAAAGTGTGGTCTTGGACTAGCTGCATGGGCACCATCTGGGTACTTATTAAAAGTGCAGACTCTCAGATTCACCCTGGACCTGCTGCAGCAGAATCTGCATTCTAACAAGACTCCTGGTGATGTATGTACACAGCACAGGGTGAGAGGTGCTACTGTGGAACCTTCAGAATCTGTGTCAACAAACCCCTTCACTCAAGCTTCTTTGAGTGGGCTTTAGCTCCTCACAGCCATCAAAGGTCAGTGAAGGTATCAGTTTAACTATAAATGTAAAGAATGAACTCAATCAGGAGAAGTGCTTTCTAACTATAACACAAAATCCAGAAGCCAAGAAAGAGAAGACTGATACACTTGATTTCATAAAAATCAGCAAAATAACTACAAAAAAAACATAAGTAAAGCCAAAAGACAAATGGGGGAAATATTTGCAACTCATATCATAAAGAGCTAATCTCCCCAATATATCAAGAGTTCCTATAAATTAATAAGAAAAAGACCAACAACCAATAGAAAAATGGGCAAAAATATCAACAGGCAGTTTATAGGAAAAGAAATTAAAATGGCCCTTAAACATATGAAAAGAAGCTTGACTTTACTGATAATAAGAGAAATACAAATCAAGCCTAGACTGAGAGACCAGTTTTCACCTTTCAGATTGGAAAAACCCCAAAAGCAGGGTACTGCATCTTGCGGGGAGGCTGTGGGGAACTAGCATCCTGTATATGCTGCTGGGGGGTGGGGGGTGGGTGATGGGTTCAGCTCTAGACAGGCAATTCGGCACCATCTATCAAAAGTACAAATGTCCTTTTGGCCAAGAAATTCACTCCTACAAACTTGCCTTTCACTCCTGTGTGAATTCACATTTGTACAAGGTTAATTATCACAGCAATGTTTGTCAGAGTAAAGAAATGGAACCTCCTAAAATCCCTCAATATGAGATGCATTAAATGAATTCTGATAGATCCTTGCAACGGAGTACTACTATGCAGCTGTGAAAAAGAACACAGCAGCACCGACAGGCTGAAAGGGGACGATCTTCAAGATAGACTGTTAAGTGGAAAAAGCGAGATGCAGAACAATGGGCAGGAGGAACACTAGAAATAAGTGACAGCGGTTCCTTGTCAGAGGGGACTGGTGGGAGCTGGACTGATGGGGGACTGCGTATTAGTATTTTCATGCTTTTTAATGCTTCAGTTGTATCATCCTATTGAAAATGTAAATGAGTACCACAAAAATATTTTTAAAACAATGAGCTCACTTGGGCAGTCACCCCATGTGCAGCTGCCACCTGCTGTATAAGAACTGCCTCTGGGCACAGAAAAGCACACAGCATACAGGCTTCCTGTGTTCTGGCACCAAGCTGAGCCTCAGCAGAGCGGAGACCCTTTGTTCCAGCCCTCTCAGTGAGGAGAGTACCAGGCCATGTCTAGCCTTGCCTTGGCTGCCTGTGGTCCTCTGGTCCCCTGCCACGTGTGCACAGTGGCCTCCACTGGAGAGGTTCTCCCCAACAGGAAGTGGCCTCAGGGGAGCCCCAGGCCCTGTCCTGGCATGTTATTCACACATGGGATGTCTCAGCACTCACCAGCCATGTCCAGGCCTGGCCAAAGTCTGTGGGAGCCCTATTGGTTCCAGCCCAGCCCCAGGACTCTGGAGCTGGCAGAAGATACCCACTGACTCTGGGTGACTGGATTTCCCTGGGCTGGCGTATTCCTCCTCTGCCTCTCTACGTTGGGGTGTGTAATCCTGGACGTCCTAGTAATGAGGTCCCTGAGGCCTTGCCTTCCTGGAGACATGAATCCCCCGAGTTACCTTCTGTTCTGTCTTGACTTTGGCATTGTAGAAGGAGACAGAATCAGGGCCCTCTGGCAGCATCGTCTGCTGCAGCCGGCTGAACCTGTCCTGGTCATCTTCTCCCTACAAGAGTCCCAACACAGCACAGTCCCTTAGCCTGGCGTTGTCAGGATCCACTCTGACAGGGCCTGTGGTGGGCATTACGGCAGCCTCTCGCTGGGTCTGCAGACCTCCACCCAGGATAGCTCACAATCCCGCAGCCTCATGTTTTCCAGTGTCATCATGGACACCCTGCAACCGCCACCAGGGCAAGATGAGCCACTCAAGAAGGGGTGCAGCAGCATGTGGTGGTTTCTGTGTCCTCATCCTTGATAACAGGGGAGAGACCTATACCTGCCCACCTGCCTGGGCCAGCTGTAGGAGAGGCTGGGAGCAGCCGGTACACTGCCAAGGTTGTGGAGAGAACAGAGGACAAGGGGCACTGCTCACTGCCCTGTGCTCGTCACCATCCCCACCCCTGCCCTGTGCCACTCACCAGAGACACAATCCTGCTGAGAGGCATCATGTCTGGCCGGATGCTGCCACCTGGCTTCAGTGCCGCCTGCAGGTCCTCAGGGACAAAGAAGGACTCATTGTACCAGATGTCAAATTCTGCAGGGAGACAGGGAGATGGCACTGTGAGGGTGGGGAGTCCCTGAGGAAGCAGGTCAAGGCTGTGTGTGTCTGTCTGTCTTGTGCTTGTCACAGCTTACCCTCTCTTCACTTCCTGCTCCAGGGCCTCACCCTTTCCCATCTCCATCTCCTGCCCTCAGAATCCTGGAAACACACATCTAAAGCCCCGTCCAGGGACTTCCCTGGCAGTCCAGTGGTTAAGACTCCACTGCAGGCTTTGATCCCTGCAGCGGGAACTAGGGGAACTAGGATCCCGCATGCCCCAGGGCATAGCCAAAAAAAAAAGTCCTGTCCAGCCCCTGCCTCTGCCAGAGAAAAGTTCTGAAGCCACTTCTAGAACCCAGACGGTAGCCCTGCCCTGTGCCTCCTGGAACCCCAGGTGGCCAGCCAACCTTCCCAAATGGCACACCCGTGAGCAGGCGATGTCGACACTGATCCACCAGCTGCTGGCAGTACTGGATCTCAGCCCTGAGGTCCTGTAGGTCCTGATACTCTGTCCGGTACTGCTTCTTGAGGTCTTTAAGCTTCAAGATTAGCAGGAATTCCTCCTCATCAATGATCATCAGCCCCTTGTTCTCATACTTGCCTGCAGGGGGGAAGGAGGAGGTTAGGGAATGAGCTGCCCACCTGAGGTGGTCAGAAAGAGGGGAGAGTGCTGGCAAAGCATGAAGACAGGACCTGGGAAGGGCTGGGGTACAGCATGGAGGTGGACAAGGCATGAGAAGGCCAGGCTACTAGGATACGTCTCACAGGGAGAGGGAGTTCAGGTCAGAGGACCACACTGGCATTTTTAGGACAAACAGGAGGGGTGGGCAGAGGAAAGGGTAGAGATGGCCCACGTTCCACGATTATTTTGATCTTAAACCCCACTAGCCAAAGATATCCAGTAAATACCTCTATTATACAGGTGTTTACCTTTCTTATAAATTATGTAAACAAGCTGCCACCACTGGCTAGTACCACAAGGCAGTTGGGCAGGGTTCCTTATTAATAACAGTAGATGTAAACCCACATTTCAAATTGCCTTCTTGACGATTTCAGCATTCGCCAGCCACCTTCTTGTCAGAGAACATCAGACATCTTGTCGGATGGCTGTCAGAGGGCTCCAGGAGGAGAGGGGTCAGTTGTGCTATTAGTCATCTCCTCTACTGACTGTCTCTTTGTATGGACCTTTTCAGGTCTGTCAGTTTGATAAAGGTTGTTAGGTTAAGACAAAATAACGATATCTGTGGAGCCACTCACCTGGCTGTCTACTGCTCACAGCACCTTGAAAGTTCAGCAAAGGCGTCGTGTCAACACCCAGCCCGAGGACGCTTGGAGAGTGAGTCCTGTGTGTGACCGAGGCGTATGGCCAGGGTGCACGAGGCAGTCCCCAGGTACCGGAGGAAGCATCAGCACTTCCGCTGATGTTTACAGGGGAGAAGTGAGGCACGTTAAGTGTCACTGACACCATTCATGGAGAGGCAAGCGTTCCAATTCAAGGTGTTTGCAGTGGGTGGGCGGGGAGTGGTGTCCAGGGTAGCCCTCACCTTCGGTGCAGAGCAACCTGGTTTGCATGCCGTGGGCCTGATGTGGTCACTTTGATACAGACAAATCCGTCAATCACAGAGTAGAGTCTTTACAGTACTCTGTTGACATGGGGAGTGACAACATCTTTTGTACTACCCAGAGGTTCTCTGATTATCTCCACAGAAAACACTTATGAGAGCTGAACTTAAGATGATTTTTCTTTTTTTTTTTTCACAAAAGACTAATTAATGTCTCAAATTCAGTGACTGTTCTGGGCTGATAAGTGGCTGTCAGTCAAGGTACCTAGAAAATATTTTTTAAAATGAATTTACTCGATCTGTTCCCTTAAGATAAAGGTATTTTACTTGCTATTTTAACAACCAATGGGAAAACAACTGCTTTCGGGGGGAAAGAACAAAAATGTTTTTTGATACTGATAAGAGTTTAAATATTTTAAAATATTGTTTATTTCTTCTTCATCCCATCCTTTAAAAATGTCCATTTTCAGGTATATTGAGGAGTAAGTGATATATCAGCATAGCATGCATATATATTATTTAAAATATGTAAATATATAATAAGGGGTTGCATATTCAAAGGAGGTGTGGGGGGACTTCCCTAGTGGCGCAGGGGTTAAGACTCCACGCTCCCAATGCAGGGGACCCGGGTTCCATCCCTGGTCAGGGAACTAGATCCCAAATGCATGCTGCAACTAAGAGTTTGCATGCCACAACTAAGGAGCCCATGTGCCACAACTAAGGAGCCCATGTGCCACAACTAAGGAGCCCTGGAGCTGCAACTAAGGAGCCCACCTGCCACAGCTAAAAACTGCTGTGACCAAATAAATAAATATTTAAAAAAAAAAGAAAAGGTGTAGGCAGAAGGCACAAAGAAGTGCTTGTTCGTCCTGCAATGCCTTCACTCTAGAGGTTCTGGGTGGGGGCATGTCTGGAGCCATCATCACCAACCTTCCCCTACTTCCCAAACCCATGGAGGGCTTTGCCCTCTGGAACAGTGTGTTAACGCTTGGTCCATAGGGTATGAGCAAAGTAGCCCCAAGAATTTGGAAATAAAGTTGCCCTCTGAGAAATAAGTGAGTAAAATGCAACCTCTGTGAGTGAGATGATCCCCCTGACCTGCAGAAAACCAAGTGCCACCTGGAGATGCCCAGGTGATCAGTGAGATCATTCAAGAAGGCCGGCCTAGCATAGGGTTGTGATTTAGCAAGGGAAAGCCCAGTAACCGGTGGTGTGCCCTGCCTGTGAACAAGAGTGTGGCCTCTGAACCACCAGCCTCAGTGTTGGGATGGTTACTCATTAAAATGCAGGTTCTGGGCCCTGCTCCAGATTTCCTGAGTCAGAGCCACTGATTGCAGCCTAGGAATCTGCATTTGACCAGCCCTCCCAAATGAGTCCTCTGCTTACTCAAGCTTGAGGGTTCTTGGTGCACATTGAAGGTATGGGCAGTGTCTGCCACTGGGACAAGGGCACCAGGTCAGGGTAACCAGGTGAGCACTCTCCCCACTCCCCACACAGGGGTCCCTGCTCGTTGAGCCTGAGGGCTTCCCACACCACCTGCCTTAAGAGACAAGACTTTGCTAGGCCAGTTTGTTGCGGGGTTGGTATGAGGAATGGTCTTAGTGACAGTGAATCACTTGGCCCCTGGTATCCACATACTCATTCCCTCCTCAGTTTCTCATGTCTTGACCAGCACCCCTATCCCAATCAGACCACTGTGCTCAATGAGGAGACAACACCAGGACCCATGGACCTTGTGGCGGTCACCGGCCACCCATCTCCCTGGGGAAGTGTCTACAAGACCAACATTCTGTCCCTCCATGGGCAGAAGCACATATCAGATGGAAGGTCCAGCACTTAGATCTGAGATAATGCAAGAAAGGGGACTTGCAGGCAGAAGCTAGCTGACAGGGAAGGACTCTGTGGTTCCCCAGGGCTGACTAGAGCCAAGTGATGACCCAGGGATGAAGCCTGCACCCCAACATCCCCTGCTGGCCCCCTTCCAACTCAGTCCTCCAGTGCCCAAGGCTGCCCCATCCCGAGCAGGATGACTCAGATCCCACTGTCCCCCAACTATCTTCCCATCACCTTTACCTTGCTTCTCTCGTAGTGACTTGTGGAAATTTAGTGCCTCCTTGGTCATGTCGATCTCCTGCTTGATGGCATTGATGCGCTGTGTGGTCTCGCTGGCCCTTTTCCTCCGCTCGTTCAAAATGGATTTGTTTTCTTTGAAGATGCGGTTGATCTCACTACCCCGTTCGTTCTTAAAGTCCTCAAAGGCCACAGGCTTGGCGGGTGGGGTGCTGGGCCTGAAGATGGAGGGGAAGGAGGAGGGAGAAATGGGGCAGCTGTCTTGGAGCCACCGGGCACTTCACCTTTCTTCCCTGGGGCTTCCGTAAGCAGGAGGTCAGAATTCCTGGGCACCACCTATCCCAGATGGGAGCTAAACTGTGTAGGAATCATTCTCTCGTCTCTGTTTTACTGAGCACACAAGGGCACATGACTATTGCAGAAAATGAGGAAAGTAAGGAAAAGTTACAAAAAAAAAAAAACCCAAAATACCACTCATTACCTATTGGCAACCACACTTTGGTGTATCTCCTTCATTTCTTTGATAACTGTTTTAATATTTGGAGTCATGCAATATGTATAATTTTACATCTTACTTTTTTCACAGAAGCATCCTTTCATGCTATTAAAAACTCTTTGAGAACTCTAGTTAATAAGATGTAAGATGAAGTGCTGGGCAGGGAAAGTAGATTGTCTGCAACTTACTTTGAAATCCATTTTTTAAAAAAAGATGGATGGAAGGATGGAGAGAAAGACACATGATGAAATACTAGTAATGGTAGAATCAAGAGGGTGTTCACGGGCTTCCCTGGTGGCGCAGTGGTTGAGAGTCCGCCTGCCGATGCAGGTGACACGGGTTCGTGCCTCGATCCGGAAGGATCCCACGTGCCGCGGAGCGGCTGGGCCCGTGAGCCATGGCCGCTGAGCCTGCGTGTCCTGAGCCTGTGCTCCGCAAAGGGAGAGGCCACAACAGTGAGAGGCCCATGTACCGCAAAAAATAAAATAAAATAAAATAAAAAAATAAGAGGGTGTTCACTATACAATTCTTCCAACTTCTCTGAATGTTTGGAAGTGTTCACAGGCTGGAGAAAAATTCTTCATGTACATCTTTGTACATTTCAAGGGCAGAGAAAATAATTCACTTAGTGCCCTTTCCCTAATGTCAACTACTGAAGGTGTTACCAAAAATTTTTTCTTTTGCTTTTTAAATTAATGACAATCTTTTTGTATAAATCTTTGTCTACATCTCTAATTATTTCCTCAGGATAGATTCCTAAAAACTCAATCACTGACTCACAACAGAGAGGAACTGGGTGGCTGGAGGAACGGTCTCATACCTGAGAATTTTGTATCTTTTGAATATATTACTTATTCAAAATATGCAAATTTAATTATTAAAATAATTGCTATTTGGAGGGTCTAAAATGATTCCGTGTATAATTGTGTATCTTGGATGACTCCTGAGGTTGAACCATTTTGCACGTGTATAAGCCATCATATTTCTTCTTTTTTGGACTGTGCTCCTAGTCTTTGCCTATTACCCCCATTTTATTTCTCTTCTATCTGCAGGTGCTCTTTCCTTGTCATACTCTGATTTTGTATGATCTGGTGCAGGAGTTACTGTTAGATAGTCACCTGGGTGGGCATAATTCCTCCTTTGGGGATTCCGAGGCAAGGGGCTCAATACTGGAGGTCTCCCGGTCCTGCAGAAGCATGTCTTTGACATCTCCATCCTTGGAGGATGGGGTCAACTGGGTCTTGGAGGTGGAAGCATCCAAGTCCTTGCCACTCACAGGGCTGCCGGCACCCTCCTTTCTTGCCAAGGAGCTGGAAGGAGAAGGCAGGGAGACCCCAGGCTCAGTGTCTCTGATGCTGAGGGGAGTAATCTTGCTCAGCACTCATACACCAGAAGCGCCAGCCCGCTCAGCTCCTATCCTGAACATAAACCCAGGCCAAAGGGCAAAGAGTACAACCCTAAGCCATGCAGATGGGGAGGAAGAGGAGAGAATTTCTCTCCCTTTTATCAGAACAAAAAGTCCTCCTTCCAGCAGTCTCAGCAGGAGACACCTGGGAAAAATGGGCAGTCTCCAGCTTGGAAGCATAAGGACCTTTGGGGTGGGCCACAGGCTCTAAGGAGCATCATGGCTGCTGAGGTATTAGTCACACAGGCATCCCTGTGAAGGAGTAGCAGAGCCCCCACCCAGGGTGCGTCTGTCTGCAGGCCAACAGTAAAGAGAAACACGTCTGACCCGCTGCTCTGATTAGTCCACGACTTTCTCTCCCACCTCTGTCAGTGACCACACCAGCTCCCCGGAAAGTAGCCATCCTCCCTCTCCAACTGATGGCACCTGGGGTCCTCCCTCCCAGAGAGGTACAAGTGAGCAGGACTGAACTAAAGGGAGGATATACATGGCTCCTTCCACTGTTTCCTTCTCTTTTCTTCTTGCAACAGGTGTGGCTTAGGGGAACCAAGCCTCCATTCATTTGTTACTGCACTAATTACCCAACGGCAGAACAGAGAGGGTGGGGGTGTGACCTCCCTTCCTGAAGAGGCAGGAGGAGGCCAGGGCATCCTCCTACCCGACTCCAGTACTGCATGTGACAGTTTTCTACAATCAGCTCTGGCCCGTGTCCTTTTACAAGTGATAATGGTAACAACATATTTGTATTGAGGTCTTCCAGAGACAGGGATTGCATTTACTCACTTATCCTCAAAACCACCCCAGTGACTGATGCTGTTATTATTATTATACCCATTTTAGGGATGAGGAAACAGAGGCAGAGAGGTTCTTACACCTCACAAGGGTGACCCCCTTGGGTGAAAGAACTACTGAGCAGGGAGGTGAGCCCAGGTGTTACCTCCAGAGAGTGTGCTTTGTCCACCACGACACAGCACTTCCCAGGGAGGCTGGTTCATTAAGGTGAACCTTGACACCCTGCATCTACAAACGAGTCTTGCCTGAAAGGTGAGCTGGAGTTTTTAGGTGATGTGGGTGCCAATTAGCCGGCTCACAGAAGGAACCTGGTGGTGGGGGCTGGGTTTCCACATGAAGTACCGGAGGGCGAGTGCCAGCCTGGCTTCTCACTTCCTCTCTACCACACCTTAGCAATGTGACCTTGGAATGAATTCCCCTCTCTGAGCCTTGGTTTCCTCATTAGTTAAAATGGAGACATGAACTCCCACCTCCTGGAACGGCTGTGAGGATGACAGGTGACCAGCCCCAGCCTGGGCCCCACAGATGCTGCTAGTATTGGCAGGAGAGGTATCCATTGTGACCACCCCATAACTAAGATACCGGCGGAAGGGAGGGACAGCTTATGTCCTCCCTTTCGCCAGCCAAGGAGGGCCAGGTGCTGATCAGCTGGAGCAGCAGGAAGGTCACTCACCTGAGCTGCTCTTTGAACATCTTCTTGGACTTGGATTTCTTCCCAGGTCTGGTAGAGAAAGGGGCAACTCCGAATCCGAAGCCTTGTCCGTCAGGCTCACCCACTAGGTGGTCGTCAACGTCCACAAGCCCTGCCTGGACAGAGGCCAGTTGCAGGTCTATGGTTAGATTAAGGGTTCAGGCTCCCTGGGGAACCAGGCGTATATGGACCAAAGGTGGACATGTTCATCCCACACACCGAGATGTGGCTCCTGCTGATGTCACTTCAGGCTGTCCCCAGCAGAGCTGTCTTTGACCACCCTACCCAATGTCCACTTCCTACATCAACTCCTCTCATGGTCTGGTGTCTCTTTCCATACGCTGAGGCTCTTGGGACCCGTTTCCAACCTAACTCTGGGAATTGGTCTTGTTTACTACTAGCCACATCTCCATTTTATGGAGAACATTTTGAACTCATATGCGGTTTACTCCTGCCTGGGTCACCCCATGCTCATGCTGGTGTTACCTTTATCTGTCGCAACCCTAGATCTGCTTTAATGCAAGACACTCACTGTCTCTGGAAAGATCTGGGGATGGAAAAATCTGATGTGAGTCTTGTCGGCAAGAGGCAATTGTGCTTACCTTCTGGACAGCAGAGATGGCTGCGAAGTCATTCTTGTCTATGAGGGTGTACTTCCTGCGCAAAGTGGATTCCACTTCCTGTTCCTGTTGGCTTGGGAGAGAGAGTGAAAGAACCCATCACAGCTGGGGCCATGCTGAACCCACTGGGGCAAGCACCAAGTACTGGAGTTAGAAGTTGTTTGTGTGTGGCCCCTGCGACAGAGCCACATCCTCATCACGAACCAGACCAGACCAAAAACGCTCATTCCCCTGCTCTCCACTCCCCAGTGTGTGTACCCATTGTCCAGCCCCCAAATCTGCAGGGGCCATCTTATGTGCCAAGCACAACTACTCTAAGATGACCTTTAACAAGGACTGTAAGCCCGCCTTGGCACCATGCTTCCCCACCTGTCTGTCTCTAACAGGCCCTTCAAAATCACATACCCAGCTTCTGTGATACCATCCAGCATCAGCCAGTCAGACTACAGGTATGTCTGTACCCAAATAAACCACAAATCCCTCCTGAGGTGGGGAGGGGGGTGTGGGGAGTATCCAAGTGTCCTGCTCTGGCCATCTTCAGGGCTGGCACTCCATAAGGACCTCCTGTCCAATTAATAAACTCAGGAAACCAGGGACCACCTCGTCTCTGAGTAGCCCTTGAATGGAGGGTTGTCCTCCCCACTTCCCCCAGGGGGAAGGGAAGGGCAGGAGGATATAAGAGCTCAGGGGCAGAGGCTGTTGGGGACACCCAGGGCCTGCCATACCCAGAGGCCTCTGATCTGGCTCCTCACACACCAGAGAGAAGGCAGTGCGGCATCCATACCATGGGAAATGAAAATGGCAGCCTGACGTAGCAGTGGGGTGGATGGGGTGGGCCCCTTACCTCAGAACCACCCGGAACTGGTTGAACACCTCCTGGATCTGTCTGAGGTTGATTATCTGGAGGGAAGAGAACAAGGCAGAGGTTAGACCAAGGGCACCATGGGACCAAGGCTGTGTCTGTGTTAGTAGAGAAACCAGGACCCCTTGGCTAACCCGTGGACCATCTGTCTCAAGAATGGGACATCTGGGACTTCCCTGGTAGCACAGCGGTTAAGAATCCGCCTGCCAACGCAGGGGACACGGGTTTGATCCCTGGTCCGGGAAGATCCCACATGCCGCAGAGCAACTAGGCCTGTGCGCCACAACTACTGAGCCTGCACTCTAGAGCCTGCGAGCCACAACTACTGAAGCCCGTGTGCCACAACTACTGAGCCTGCACTCTAGAGCCTGCGAGCCACAACTGCTGAAGCCCGTGCGCCTAGAGCCCGTGCTCCTCAACAAGAGAAGCCACCGCAATGAGAAGCCTGCACACCATGACGAAGAGTAGCCCCCGCTCACCACAACTAGAGAAAGCCTGTGCGCAGCAACAAAGACCCAATGCAGCGATAAATAAATAAATAAATAAATAAAAAAGAATTGGACATCTGCCAGCACCCTCTCAGGAAAGTGGCAGTCCAGCCTTCCTCAAGAACAGAGGAACACCTGATTAGTAGTTTTAAAACTATTTACTGTGACTGTAATAATCACCTTTTCTGAGTGAAGACCTCTATAAAATTAAAACGACTCTAGTTCTTGAGAATACTAAGAAAACATTTAAATAAAATTTATTGTCCTCAGCTCTCTCCTGCTTCCAAAAGGTTCCATTACGAACCTTTCTGTGTGGGCACAGACACACTCACCTGTGGCTGGAGGAAGGCCATCAGCCTCCCTCTTGGGGCTATAGCCCACCAGCATTACCCTCGATGCCTTGGTCAGTCTGGGGCTGCCCTTACTAGGAAGACCACAGCAGCCTGCCACTCAGTTGTCCCAGGCTTGCCTCTGGCAGCTGCTCACAGTAACAGGTCAGGCGAGGTTCTGCCCATGAGCTCCCTGATGAGAGGTCTGCCAGCCTGTGCTATAAAAACAATGCATCTTTCCCTGTGTGGCTGCTGTCTCCTCCTCCTTGGCCCACTCCAGCATGGGCCCTGGGGGGTCTGCCTTGTAGACAACCAGCATGACTGTCATCCTTTAATGCCCTCACTCTGCCTGGCACAGTCAAGCCCCTGAGGTGCTGCATCTCAGTTCATCCCAGCTCGGTTTCCCTCCCCACCACACCGTACAGGTGAGGCCACCAGAGTACACAAGCTTGAGCATTTTCCTGAGGTCACTCAGCAAGGAGATAGCTGAGCTGAGATTCGATCCAGGAGGGTAGCCTAGCTCCAGGGTCCACACTTGTGCCCCCAGTGATGGACCACCTCCTGTGTATTCAAGGCTGTTTAAGGCTTTCAGCCACTCTGTGGGTCACCCACAGCCCTGCAACCCTAAACATGGATGCCAAGGCCCTGAGGTGGGCTAAAGGGCCCTGAGGCCAGGAGTCCAGCACCACCTACTCTACACCCCCTGTACCCTCTCAGTGTGAGGTTCCAAGGCAAGCACAGCATGCATCGGGGTGTGGCCAGGAGATGGAGGCCCGGGCCAGCTGGACACGGTGGTCCTGAGGGGCTCCTTACGTCAATCTCGTCCAGCGTTCCCTCCAGGTACCTCCGCACCTGGGAGTTGATCTCGGCAATTTGAATTTCATCCATGGGGTCATAGTTAACAAGGGTACGGTTGGCCTTGGAGGAGGAAAAGGAACATATTGTTAAGCTCCAAGCACCCAAGCCCAAGTGGGGTGGCAGGGACCATCCTGAGAACCATAGTGGGGAGGGTGGGCACAGACCCTGGCCGCCCAAGCCAGCTCCATTCCCTTCATCACCACGTCCTGGCAAGGAGTGCCTGACTCACAGGCCAGGTGTTCAGGTCATCAAGGGACAACCAGGTAGGGCGGGGAAGGAAAGGCTGCCCAACAGGGGGCCTGCTACTCCAAACAAGGGGGTTCTGCTGACTGAGTCTCAGCAGACTCTGTAGGATGAGGGCCACAGGAGGGAGGGGGCAGCCTCTGCCTTGAGGCTCCTCTGGACCATGAGCATTAGCTCAGACAGGCTACTGGAGGACTCCTGTCCCCACCCCCTATCTTCATGGCTCCCTGCTGCTGTCCCCACCCGACCACCCAGCCTTGGTCAGGGGCCACCTCTCCTGACCTTGACCCATCATGCTGTCTGCCCCTGTACCCCTGCTAGGCCTCTGGCCCCTGCCCCTCAACCCCCCTGCCTACTGCCTGACCATCTGACACCCCTGTCCACATCTTCTTGTTTGTCCAGTGTCCCTGCCTACCAGACATTCCTGGTCCCCCAGCACTTCTGCCCCACCCCCGAGTCTCTCTACTTGGCCCCTGACCCATCTGGCCCCCTGTCCACCCAGCCCCTCTGCCCACCTAAATGGCTCTGCTCATCCAGCATCCCTGCCCTGACCCTTTGCCCCCTCCCAACCTAGCCCTTCTGCCCACCTGGTACCCTGACCCTAGTCCCTCTAGCATTCTGGCAACCATGCCCCCCCACCACCTCCAGCCCCTTACCAGGCTGTCATGGATGGCTAGTTCCTGCTTGAGCAGTGCCAGCTCCTTCTCCAGGTTCTTGACCATTCGCTGCCAGGGAAACATATTGTGGGGTGGGGGTGGGGTGAGGGGGAAAGCAGGGAGGACAGTCAGAGAAGCCACCCTGCCTCTTCCATATCAAGCCTATAATTCCCCACCTGTGCCTGGACATCCTGGCTCTTCCAGGTAATCCATGGGGTGTGATCTCAGCATCTGGATGATTCCCTCCCCACTGGTGACTTTTCCCCAACTGGGTAACTTTAGGGTTTGAGGGGGTCTCAGCAGTCCTCTGGCCTCTGCCTCTTACTGCAGAGGAGACTGAGAACAGAGTGAGCACAGGCACCCCTAGGGCCACCTCAAACCCTGACTCCCAGGAGCTCCAGTCCAACAGGGTAATGGCCCTCTCGGTGCAGCCCATGCCTCCAGGATGCATTGACCCTCATCCTTTCCAACCACTACACAAAGCATTACCATTCCCCACTGATAATCAGGTATGCCACCTCCAATTTATTGCTGCTACAAAAAATGCTGTAAAACATCTTTGCACTTACATCTTTGTGTACAAGAACACAGTGATGTATGAGCTCTAAGTGATCTGCCCCATTACTTCTTTCCTCCTCTTTTCCCCCTGCTCACTCCATTCCCACCGAATGGGCACATTCCTGCCTCTGCATTGTCTGTCCCCTCTGCCTGGGACACTCTTCTCCCAGGTATTTCCATGGCTCACCTCCCTCAAGTCTTTGTTCAAAAGCTACTAAATTAGGCGCATCTCTATTACTTCATGTAAACCTGCAATCCCCTCCCCACCCTCACACCACTCTTTTTTAAAATCTTGCTCTACTTTTCTTTCACAGAACATACCCTAGAGCAGTGTTGTCTAATAGAACTTGCTGTAATGATGAAAATGTTCTGTGTTTGTGCTGCAAGCCACATAAAGCTATTGAACAATTAAAATGTGACTGGTGGGACCAAGGAAGTGAAATTTTAATTTTACTTAATTTTACTGATTTCAGGGGACTTCCCTGGTGGTCCAGTGGTTAAGACTCCGCACTTCCACTGCAGTGAGCACGAGTTCGATCCCTGGTTGGGGAATTAGGATCCCGCATGCCGTGTAGCACAGCCAAAAGAAAAATTTTTTTTTACTGATTTCAGTAGCCACATGTGAGTAGTGGCTACTGTATTGGACAGTGAAGCTCTACAACTTACCTATTTTGGTTTTAAGAAAAATTATATATATTTAAGGTGTACAACATGATGTTTTGGGTTTTTTTTGGGTTTTTTGCGGTACGCGGGCCTCTCACTGTTGTGGCCTCTCCCGTTGCAGAGCACAGGCTCTGGACGCGCAGGCTCAGCGGCCATGGCTTACGGGCCCAGCCGCTTCATGGCATGTGGGATCTTCCCGGACCGGGGCGCGAACCCGTGTCCCCTGCATCGGCAGGTGGACTCTCAACCATTGCGCCACCAGGGAAGCCCCAACATGATGTTTTGATATACATGTACACAGTGAAATGATTACTACAGTCAAGCTAATTAACATATCCACTAATTACCATTTTTTGTGTGTGTGGTATGAGGATCTGAGATCTACTTTCCTAGCAAATTTTCAGTACACAATATACTACTATTAATTATAGTCACCATGCTGTACATTAGGTCCCCAGAACTAATTCATCTTAGAACTAAAAATATGTACCCTTTGACCAACATCTCCCCATTTTTCAGCCTTCCCCTACCCCACTCCTGGTAATCACTGCTCTACTTTCTGCTTCTATGAATTTGACTTTGTTAGGTTCCACATATAAATGAGATCATGCAGTATTTTTCTGTGTCTGGCTTATTTCACTTAGCATAATGTCCTCTAGGTTCATCCATGTTGTCTTAAATAGAAAATCTAGAAATGACTGATTTCTTATGTTTAGTATATCTATCTCTCCCACCCCCGGCAGACTGTCAGCTCTTCAAAGACAGATTTGTGTTTATGTTGGTACACTGATACATCCCAAGTGCTTCAAAAAGTGCCTGGCACATAGTAAGTACTCCAGAAATTTTAGCTGAGTGAATAAATGATACATTTCTAGAAGCAGAATTGCTTAGTCATTTTACATTTGATAGATACTGTCCTAGTGTTTTTCATATAAGAAGCACAAGGGACTTCATGCTGAGAATCTTCACTGTGAACAACAGGGCTTCCTTTAGTTGTCAAAAAATGGCCACTGGAGGGAGCCCCTGACAGCTGGTTCTCAGGACTGGTGACCAAAGCTGTGATCAGTCTGTAGCAAGGGGTCCTGGTGTCCTGGTGGCTCAGTGGCAAATCAGGGCACAAAGCCTGAACTCAAGACACGTGACCAGGGTCCAGATTCTGACCCTGCCCCTCTGGGCATCCTCAAGATGGTCCTTCAGGTGGACTCCCTGTGAGGTGAACAGGAGAGGACTGGTGGCCGGCCCCTACTCATCTCCATCCCCTCCTCTCAGCTGAGGGATCTCAGCTCTAGAAAATGCACTATGCCCAGCTAGGAAAAGTCTGGCTGAGCTGCTGGGGACCTCCAGCTGGATGACATGGTATGGACATGAGGAGCCAGGTTAGACCTCTGGGCCAATCAGGTGATGGTGGAAATGAGCCATCTGCTCCCATGGGTCACCAGCCTCTATGCTGCACCCTGAGAGTATGGAAGCCACTTCTACTGCCTGGCAGGCTTAGTGGCCTCTAACTTGCCCTCTTCTACTGACTGGAAAGAAGCTGCTTGGAAATAGGGCTGAAGCAGAAGACCCCACAGAATAGGGTCTGACAGCACCTCCTGGCTGACCAACTCCCTTATAAGAAACAGGGGCATTTTCTGGATGGAAAAAAAATGCCTCAGAGACAGCATAGACCCATGTAAGTTCCTTGCTGGTTAGGTGTTTACATCATAAATGTAATGAGGATAAATTCAGAGAGTTCTGCTTAAGTCCACACCAGGTTGTGAGCAGCTATCAGCCTAAGAAGTTTCCCTATTTTGACCCCACGGCAGCGTGCAGGTGTGCTTCCTCTTGGCAGAGTAGGGTACCCCAAGTCTCTCTGCTGTCTGTTTATGCCCGTGGCTCACAACCCTTACACCACCTCACAGAATCACAGAATGACATAGTGGGAGGGTTGCTGGAAGTCATCAGTCCAACCTCCTAGTTCACAGATGAATATCCTGAGGCTCAGAGCCTGAGCAACTCACCACAGAGAGCTGGTAGCAGAGGTGGATCAGGAACTCAATCTCCCACCTTCCAGCCAGCCCCACCAACCAAGGAAACTCTACAGAAGCTATTCCACCCCCTTGAAAACAGGTATCAGTACTGAAAATGGTGCTGGAAGCAACCTGGGAATACTGGCTACAGTCTAGGAAAGGCAACAACCAAAATAATTTTCCAGGTCTCTCTCGAGAACTCATACATATAAAGGAAAATGCTTATCATAAAGATTATAAACACATTTGCATTTGGTGACATGGCAACTTGGCTGTCCAGGAACAACAGTGCAGATTTCAGAATAGGAATTACATTAAAATGAAAGTCCTCGCTGCCAGGTGCAACGCCCACTCAGCCAGGTTCACAGGTGGTAATGTGGTAGTCCTAAGCTAAGAGAGCACCGAATAAGAAAATAAGAAAAATAAATAAGAAAAGCTCCAAGCTACAGAAAAGCATAGAAAATAATGCCATGAAACCTTGGGAAGACCACCCTAAAATCTGACTTTAACAGCATGCCACCATATTGGCTTCAGGTGTTTTTGGTTTTGTTTTTTTAAGAAATGAAACATTTCAGATAAATGTGAAGCCCCTGGCTACCCCACTCCAAATCCATTCCCCACCCTGACATCCAGAAGGAACCTCTGCTCAGTTTGGTCTTTTCACTCCCATACATTTTTTCTTTGTACACACATCTATCCACTAACGATGATCAGCATTGCTTTGTATGTTCTTATACTTGGTATAAACGAGAGATGCCACCATTCAATCCCCAAGTTGTTTTCTCAGTAGAGATTATCCATGCTCGCAGCTCACTGACTCCCTCCCTGTGCAACCTACTTAGCTAGTCTTCTGTTAAAGGCTATTAATCATGTTCCTAACTTTTCACCATTACAACAAGCAGTGCAGCACCATCTTCTATAAGTCTCTTTATGTGCATATGTGAGAATGCTACTAGACTATATACCTAGAAGTGATACTGCTGGTCTGCAGAAGTGACTATAGTGCTAGGTAACATTTCCTGAGCATTTACTCCATGATAGCACTGTGCTAAAAGATTCCTACCCATTATCTTGTTCTTCACATCTCTTTGAGAGTAAACTCTGTTACTCCTGCCTTAGAAAGAATAAGTATCTCGCTGAGGTTATACAGCTGACGAAGGAAAGAGCAGGTTGCTGAACCAGGATAGTCCAACGCAGGGGCCAGCGCTCCTAACTACTGTGCCCGTCATTCTCCAAGTGTGGTCCCAGAACAGCAGCAGCAGCAGCACCAGGGACACTCATGAGAAATTTGAATCCTCAGCCCCCACCCCAGACCGACGGAATCAGGTACTCTGGGAACGGGTGCAGTGACCTGTGGTTCAATGAGCCCGCAGGGTGATTCTGATACCCACTCAAGTTTTGAGAACCACTGCTCTAAGCTCTACTTCCTCCTCAACCTCCAAACCATGGGTTAGATCCACAGAGCCCCCGGACTGTTATTTTCCTTCAGGATTTAGAATCTAGAAAGTTTAGCTGGTTTGTCATGGGTTTAGGGCATGTATATGCTCCTGTCTCCAGTAACTACGATTGCATAAGCATCTTAAAGGAAAACCAAATTATTGGTAAATGTGTTTTTACTTTACTAGATGTTGCCAAAATGCTCTCCAAAGTGGCTGTCCATTACACTTAGACCAGAAATAAATAAGCATTGCTGTTTCTGCACATACTCACCATTGTTTCTACATTGTCAGAAATTTTCTAATTTTTGCTAGTCTGAGGGTGGAATTCCACTAAGGTTTTAACTTGCATTTCCCTGGCTAATGGTGAGGCTGATCATTCTTCTGATTGGTTAGCTGTTTGCTGAGAGGGATCGTTCAGGCTGGGAAGAAAGAGGTTCTGTAGTGACCTAACCAGATGAGTCTGAGAGATGGTCTACACTGATTTAGCTCAGAAACAATTAGCTCTAAGGACTCTCATGCAGAAGCCCAGGGGCACTCAGAGGCCTTGAAGCCTCACATATGAATTGGGTGGGGGCCTGACCTAGCCCTTTCACCTTTGTGGCAGCCCCCAAGGGACTCTAAACACTGGCCTATCCCAGAGCAGAAAGGGACTGACCCAGGATCACATGCGTATCTTTGGTCAAGGCAGGAAGGGAAGCCAGGCTCTTGTGACTCAGGCAGCAAACCCATACACCTTCCCCACAGCGAGATACCTGCCTACAAGCCCCTTAGTACCTCAGCATCATACTTTTCGTTGATGGCAGGCTCAGTGGTGACCAGCTTCATCCTGCTGGCAAACCGCAGTGAAGACAGCTGAAAAACAGATCAGACAGACCTCTATGTTCTTGGTCAATTACTTGTGAGTAGAGATATGTGCAAAACAGATTAAAGGATTCCACTAGAAAACAAGTCTCCCTGCAGAGAGAAATGCTCCATGGGCCCATGGAGTGACATCTGGGGGGTCCTGCCCAAGTCCCTCTGGGGACACAGCCAGCCAGGGGTAATTATGGCTGGGGGCCCATGGGGTGGCCACAGAAGCAGGCACTTGGTAAACAGTCCCACTGTGCTGATGTTCCATGAGGAGTGGAGGGCTGCTCCCTGGCAGTGAGGAGCAGCCAGTGGCACATGAGCTGCCAGTGAGCCCTGACATCCCAGCCTCATACTGTGCTGGGCTGGCTCGGAGCCCTGAAACAGGGAAGCCGACTTGGAGGGGGGATGGGTAACCCAGAAGTAGCCTGAGGAAGGCCTGAAAGTGCTCTTCCATTGGACAGTCTTGCCTAGTAGTTAAGAGATCTGCCACCAACCAACTGACTGCACAACTTCAGACAGGTCTTGTAACTTCTCTGTAAAGTTGGGAAGACCTGCCTCACAGGGTCACTGGGAGACTTAGTGCTGAGGTATGTAATGTGCTCTGGACAGAACTGGCTGACAGAGAGCCCTCAGGAAGAGACCCCTGTCATTTTAGTTGGAGTTGCTTCTGTGTGAGGGTGAAATCAGACTCTCCTGCTGTAAGCACAGCAGCAGGTGTGGCCACGACTCCCTCATACACACATGCGTGGTCAATGCATTAAGCAACACAAATCATGACAGGAACAGTTTTAAAGTTTTAAAGCATTTGGAGAAGAGAATCATGAGCTTCTGCACCCCCAATATGCCTTTGTCCCAACCCCCGATACTCTTCCAGCAGCTCCTTAGGGCTCCTGTGGGCTCAGTCCTAATCAGAGATCCCAGGTGGTGTGGGCACAAGCCTCGGGGGACAGCAGGTACCAGGAGAGCTGCTTCCTGTGTGACCATCTCAGGGGTGGGGATAAGGGGAGAAAGGGTCTTCCACGGTCTTGGAGGATGTATTTCTTAACCAGGCAGCCAGGAGGCCCAATATTCATATGACTCCTCTTGGGGTTCACTCATGCTTTGTTATGCTATGAGACCAGTAGGTGCCTGAAGCCTTCCTCTGGGGATGCTGTCTGCACATCAGCTGGAGCTCCCCTCCCTGGCTTCCCAAGTCCCAGGGCACTGGGTATGTGGCAGGAGAACTCCCCCTGGAAGCTGGGATGGTCCCTAATGCACCAAGCTGGGAGGCCCTGCAGAAGCATCTTGCCCTGCAATGTCCCTGGAAATGACCTGTTTCACCTAGTGGATTCTCCAGATGACCGAAGCTTGCCCCAAACATCCACATTTGACCAAAATGTCCAGGGAGAGATTTCCAAACCTATCTTATTTAGGATGGGTACGGAGGAGAGGCGGGGAGCCCCAGCCTGGGTGCCTAGCTATGTGGACTCACCTGTGTCACTGGCTCACTTCGTATTCCTGCCTCTGGTTCTCATAAGCTTCTCACCTCCCCGGGTCACCTGGTTCCTGCTGCTGGATTAATCTCCCCGAGTCACAACTCTGGCCACAGCCCTCTCCTACTAAAAGCCTGTGACAGCCCCAGCCGCCTGGAGCAGAATAGCCAAGGCCTCAGCATGGCCGCCAGGGCCCATCCAGCCGCTGCACCTTCTTCTTCCTGTCCTTCCCCAGCTCCTCGCCGCAGTGGCAAAATACTCCTGGCATGGGCCAGAAAACACAGTCCTTGCCCCACAAAGCTGGCTCTCAGCCTTCTCTTCTCACATAGGCCCCCACACTGAGCTTGCCACCCGCCTTGCCTCTTCCTTGACATGGCTTCTGCCCCTTGGTACTTGGTATTTGGATCCTGGCTGGGCCCCCTTCAGCAGTTTTGGCTCAGACTCATCCCTGGATCCCTCCACCCCTGACCATGTCTATAGCTACTGTGTCAGTTTACCCAGCCCTGGCATGCATGAGGAGGGATTCCATCCCGGTTGCACTGGCTGTCTTTACATACCGTCTCTTCTAACTGGGCGGCTTCTCCATAGATGTTTGTCACAAGGACCGTATTGCAATTTCCCCCTGCAGAAAGCAGGACACAGAAGGGCCATGAACCATGTGGGTTTTCTGCCAAGAGATTCCTCTGAGGCTGATGGGTGGCGGGGGCGGGAGGGCTCTGAACATTTGTGTCCCTTCAAAATTCATATATTGAAGTCCTAACCCTCAATGTGATGGTATTTGGAGGTGGCGCCTGCAGGAAGTAATTAAGTACATGAGGTCATGAGGGTGGAGCCCCATGATGGGATTAGTGCCCTTGTAAGAAAGGAAAAAGAGACCAGAGCCCTGTCTCCCTTTCTGATCTCTTTCTTTTCTTTCTCTCTCTCTCTCTTTGCCATGTGAAGACACAACGAGAAAGTGGCCATCTACAGGCCAGGAAGAGAGTTTTCACCAGGAGCCATTCCTGCCAGATCTTGACCTGGGACTTCCAGGTTCCGGGACTGTGAGAAATAGGTGTCTGTTGTTTAAGCCACCCAGTCCATGATATTTTGTTCTAGCAGCCTGAGCTGACTGAGACAGGGTCAGAGAGGACACATTCAAGCATACATGAGGCTGGGAGGCAAGGGGAAGAAGAGGAGAAGTAGGAGAGGCTGTCAAATGTACCTAAAAGAGGAGCTGGGGGAAAAGCAGAGGAGAGAAGACCTGGGGTAGGGCAGAGGCCTCTAGGCCAGGGCTTTGCTTATGGGGGGGTGGGGGGGAGCACTCAGTTAATAATCACACACCAACCACTGTGCCATTGGGCCCAATGCAAAAGCCTGGGAACACAAGGATGACAAGACACAGCCCCAGCTCCTCAGTCAGGGAAGGGAAGATGCACCAGAGAAGCCCTCCACCTTGGTCTTCAAGGTGGTGAAGGATTCTGCCAGCTGGTTCAGGGATGAGGGGAAATGAGAAGGTACTTCCGGTAGAGGCAAAAGCTTAAGCAAAGGTTCTGAGGAGTGAAGAGAATGGCATGGGGGACATGAGAGGTCACTGTGCTTGATTCTGCCTTTCCAGGTGTACCTGAGGTCACTGTGAAAAGGCTGCAGGTAAGTCCATGCCACCAGGAGGGAGCAATTCAATTATCACCAGTAATAGATATGCCAGGCCTGTCCGTCCCCGCTGTGCACCAACCATACCCTCACCTAAGGAATCCTTCAGGGCGTGGGTGAGCTTGCACTGCCGGAAGGGGATGTGGTCTCGCTTCTGGTCCCCGAGGGCAATGATGGCCTGCTCCAGGAATGACAGCGACTTGTTGATGTAGGTGGCTTCCTTCAGGACTCGGCCCTCATACTACAAACCAAAGGTCAGTTCCTCATCAGACCAAGTGGAGAGGCTGCCCCACAAAGAACACTGCAGGTCTGTGGCCAGGCCAGAGCCTCCTTCCCAGAACCAGGTCTTCTCTCCCTGTCATGGGATTGTATTGTATCTGCCTTGGGCTAATGGGAACACTCACAGGAACACTCGTGCAAATATTCTTATGAATGAATGCTTATGTGAATATGAATACTTATGTGAATATTTATATGAATACTCTCTTAAGAGTCACACTATTATGAATACACATGGGAATATTTGTGCAGATACTTGAGCAAATAATCCTGGGAATATACATTCAATCAATACACAGATACAAACATTCATACAAACGCACATAGGAATGCTCATCTGAATGCTCTTGTGAATACTTATGTTAATACGCTCACAAGAATATTTATGTGAGATGAAAAATTCATGCAAATATTCATTGTGTGAACACTCACACTGATACATAGAGAAACGCTAATACGAGCATGGAGCATTGACTGAGCACTGACTGAGTGCCAGGTACTCTGCTAAGAATTTAGGAGCCATTGTCTCATTTAATGTTTACAAAAATCCTGCCAGGTAGGAACTGCCTCTCTGTTTCACTTCTGCTAGTTCTGTCCCTCCAGCTCCACTACGCCTAGCTCGGGATAGTGCTCACGAATGCCCAATGAGGGACGGCCCAGGTGCAAAGAAACTAAGCCGGAAACAGAGCTGTGGCTTCTTGAGGAAGAACTTCCTGCTCCCCCACTTACCCTAGACTTCCCCAGCCTCTCCGAGCCTGCTAGATCCACCAAGTTAATTTTGGAAGTGATGTACTTTTCGTCTGATAAGGTCCGCGAATGGGCCTATGAAACACCCAAAAAGAGGTTAAACTGTCACAGGGAGAAGGTTCTTACTGAGCAAGCCCCATGGGAATCAACCGCCCCTCTCAGCTCTTCAAAGAGCTTGCACTTACCTCCACGTAGATTGTGAAAATGCAGTGTGACCTAGATGAGTTCTTGTTCATTGTGTGGGAGGCTATAATCCTGTTGGTCTCTCCCTGAAGAAGACGGAAAACACAGACAACGTTTTGAAATATTAAAATAACATGGCATTTGGATCATTTTTCAATTATGCAGAAATGATATTTATATCACTGCAATCAGCCAGGCCTTCCAGGGAAATCTCATTTATAAACTAGTAGAATAGAAGACAAATTGGAGTCCAGACCTATACTTTCACTCACTGCTAGAGATGTGTGAATTTGTATAATAGGTCTCTTTCCTTCTTTTTTTTTTTGGCCACGCCATGCAGCTTGCGGGATCTTAGTTCCCCGACCAGGGACTGAATCTGCGCCCTTGTGAGTGAAAGCTCCAAGTCCTCACCACTGGACCACCAGGGAATTCCCTGTATAATAGCTTTCTGAAAAGCAAAGCAGCAATAAGAATTAAGAGCCTTAAAAATGTTCATTAGGGCTTCCCTGTTGGCACAGTGGTTGAGAGTCCATCTGCCAATGCAGGGGACACGGGTTCGTGCCCCGGCCCTGGAAGATCCCACATGCCACGGAGTGGCTGGGCCCGTGAGCCATGGCCGCTGAGCCTGCGCGTCCGGAGCCTGTGCTCCGCAACGGGAGAGGCCACAACAGTGAGAGGCCCGCGTACCCCTCCAAAAAAAAAAATGTTCATTAATATTGAATCATAACCAACCTACATATCCAACAATTAGGGAATGGTCTAGCTGTACAATGGAATGTTATACAGCCAGGAGAAGGCTGACAAATAGTTTGTCGTTGTTGTTGTTGTTTTTAATATATTTATTTTCAGGTGTGTTGGGTCTTCTTTGCTGCATGTGGGCTTTCTCTAGTTGCGGCAAGCGGTGGCTACTCTTTGTTGCAGTGCGCGGGCTTCTCATTGCAGTGGCTTCTCTTGTTGTGGAGCACGGGCTCTATGTGCACAGGCTTCAGTAGTTGTGGCTCAAGGGCTCTAGAGTGCAGGCTCAGTAGTGTGGCACACGGGCTTAGTTGTTCCACGGCATGTGGGATCTTCTGGGACCAGGGCTCGAACCCGGGTCCCCTGCATTGGCAGGCAGATTCTTTACCACTGAACTACCTGGGAAGTCCCAACAAATAGTTTTTAATTACAGGAAAATGCAGAATCCAAAATCATAGCAAACTGACTTCCACAGCACAATAAAAGGACTATATACCACAACCACATCCTTGCATACCCCAGGATGCAAGGATGGTTTGACATACACAAATCAACCAATGTAATACATTTCATTAACAAAATGAAGGACAAAATCATATGATGGTACAATCTAAGGAATGCAAAAGCATTCATAGAAGAAAGAATAAACAGATGGTACTACCAAGATGTTAATAATGGTCACTTCTGGGTTGGAGTTTATAGGTGAATTTTTTATATATACAGGCTTGTGCTTTCATATTTTTTTTTTTTACAGTTAACACGTATTACTTTTAAAAGTTAGGAAAATTCAATGATTTGTTTCTTTAAAGGACAGCAGGCCCTTGCCTCTAATTCATAGGATTGGGCACTATGACCACAATACACTTAAAAGGAAATGTGGTGGAAATGGCTGTTCTTAGAGAAAGAGATCCTTGCAGGAGGGACTCTGTCTCCTTAAAGGCCCCTGAGAGGTGCTATGAACAACCTCAAATCAGTGATGCCACGTTCCTCTGGGGAGAGTGGAGCACCCGAAGAGGAGGGGAGGCCCTGGGCTGTGGAGGAGGCCTAGCTGGCCTCCAGGCTATACCCTCATTGCCTCATACTGTCCACCTCTCCTGCAAATTCAGTGACATTCACCAAGAGTACAAGGGGTCACTTCACCTTTACCCTTCAGTCCCCTCTTTCTGAAGTGCCCTCTTTGCTTGTCTTTCTGCCTTCTAATTAAGCAATCTCTGAAGGCCAGAGAAGTGTCCTTTCCTCCATGAAGAGTCCTTTGCTGACTGCCCTCACCCTAGCCACATCCATCCAGGTGTCTGTCACTCCTGGAGCACAGTTCAGATTGTGCCGTGGTTGTCATGGGTTTCTTCCTCGTCCTTCTCCACCCCACGGCGAGCCCCTTTAGGCCTCACATTTATCCTTCCACCATCATTGCCTAGCAAGGACATGGCCCTTGAGGAACTACTGCTGCAAACAAAATGCCTGGTTCAATTCTAAATATGAGTGCTCAGGCAGTGCCAAACATGCTCTGAACAGCATCCACTGAGCACTTATTGTGTGCAAGACTCTGCAGTCAGTGTTCAAAATGCTTGATCCCATCTGGTGCCTCTGCTATGGGAAACAATGCGGAGGCTCTTCAAAAAAAATTTTTTAATTTATTTAATTTATTTTTGGATGCGTTGGGTCTTTGTTGCTGCACATAGGCTTTCTCTAGTTGTGGTGAGTGGGGGCTACTCTTCGTTGCGGTGCGCGGACTTCTCATTGCGGTGGCTTCTCTTGTTGCGGAACATGGGCCCTAGGGCACGTGGGCTTCAGTAGTTGTGGCTTGCAGGCTCTAGAGCGCAGGCTCAGTAGTTGTGGCGCACGGGCTTAGTTGCTCCGTGGCACATGGGATCTTCCTGGATCAGGGATCAAACCCGTGTCGCCTGCCTTCGCAGGTGGATTCTTAACCACTGCGCCACCAGGGGAGCCCTCTTCAAAAATTTAAAAATAGAACTACCATATAATCCAGCAATCCCACTTCAGAGTATTTATAAAATAAATCACGGGGATGTAATGTACAGCATGGTGACTATTAATAATACTGTATTGCATATTTGAAAGTTTGAAAGTTGCAAAGAAAGAGAGTAGATCTTAGAAGTTCTCAGCACACAGAAAAAATGTATAACTATATACGGTGATGGATGTTAACTAGAGTTATTATGGTGATCATTTTGCAATATATACAAATATTGAATTATTATGTTGTACACCTGAAACTAATATAATGTTACAAGCCAATTATACCTCAATTTAAAAAAATGCCTGATCCCATCTGATTCTCATAACAATGTTTTGGGGTAGGTTTAAAAACAGTGTCTCTACTTTTATAGATTAGCAAACTGCAGCTTGAAGAGATTAATGATTTGCTCGACATTAAGCCTTCATAGATTGAAAGAAACCTGAATTTGAGCCCAAGTCCCCAATTCTAAGTTCTACACCTTTTGCACTGTATCACAGCCCAAAACATCAAGGGGGACTTCCAGGAATACAATGGACTAAATATTCAGAAAACTTCCTACTGCAAAATACCTAAAGATGATAGAGAGAATATTTTAAAATTCCTTTTGAATGCATGGCTGAGACTGCAAGAAAGTAAGGCCGGTACCCAGGGCCAGACACAAAGCAGGAGCAGGAATCCAGGAACTGCAAGCTAGAACCAATGCTCTTATTGCCCTGAGGGCACCTGCCTACGGAGGTGCTGTAAGATAGCCCTTGCTGGATTTCTTGGTGATTCTCTGAGCAATGAAATTGACATGTTATAAAGATAGAGAATATCTCCTTTTGCCCCCAAAGCCATTTTCTCTTCACATTCTGAGGGTGGTAGACTTAGAGCCACTTGTATCTTCCCTCACCTCCCTCCGCTCCCATCCCCCCAACCCAAGCCATCTGTTACATTCAAAGGGTGATAAGATCTTTCTCCTTTAGAACCAAAAGCTTAACTTGCAGGTAGAGACCTTGCCCTCCTTTCCTAAGAGAAGATTTACTTATATTTCAAAATAAAAGCACATGCTCTTTCTCATTCTCCCTTTCTGTCTCTAGCTGCACCCCTGCCACCTCCGCCCCACCCCGCACTTCAATCTCTCTCTATCCTAACAGAGGGGAAGAGGAGTAAATGTACCAGCTCCTATATAAGCTCTGAGATTCGTAACTTTGGAATTCCTCTCCAACAGTACAGACACCCTCTCCCCTCTGTAGGGCTTCCCTGGTGGTGCAGTGGTTAGGAATCTGCCTGCCAATGCAGGGAACATGGGTTCGAGCCCTGGTCCGGGAAGATCCCACACGCTGCCGAGCAACTAAGCCCGCGCGCCACAACTACTGACCCTGCGCTCTAGAGCCCACGAGTCACAACTACTGAGCCTGCGTGCCACAACTACTGAAGCTTGTGCGCCTACAGCCCCTGCTCCACAACAAGATAAGTCCCCGCAATGAGAAGCCTGCACACCGCAATGAAAAGTAGCCCCCGCTCGCTGCAACTAGAGAAAGCCCACGCGCAGCAACAAAGACCCAACGCAGCCAAAAATAAATAAATAAAATAAATAAATAAATTTTTTTACAAATCTGATTTAAAGAGACCCTGTATTGGTAATGTTTCCTAGGTTCCTGAAAGAAAAAACTATTCTCTAAAGTAATATAGTCTTAACCCAAGCCTCAAAAAAGACCCACTGATAAAGGGTCAAGGGAGTAGAGCTTATAATCAAATTACAAAATATACTTGTTATGATAAGGTAACATTTTATTTTGATTCATAGAACGTTTGGAAGAAATATACAGGGAGGTCCTCTCTACCTTCTACTCAGCCTCTCCCTATGATTAACATCTTGTAAAACAGTAGTACAATGTCAAAACCAAGAAATTGACATTGGTATAATCCACAGAGCTTATTCAGATTTCACCAGTTATACAACTTATTTGTGTATGTATGTCTGTATGTGTGTGCATTAACTAACTATGCAAGTTGTTATTTCTAGGAAAAACGAGAGAGAAAATATAAATATGAACGAATATATAACTTCCAAACTAATAAAGAGGGAAACAAATATAATAAAAAAATATCCAATGAAAAAGAAGGCAAAAGAGGTAAGAAAAATAAATGGGACAAAGAACACACAGTCAAACGACAGATTTAAACCCAAGTATTTCAGAAACTATGTTAAGTGCAGATGGAATGAAATGCTTCAGTTAAAAGATAAAGACTGGGGCTTCCCTGGTGGCGCAGTGGTTGAGAGTCCGCCTGCCAATGCAGGAGACACGAGTTTGTGCCCTGGTCCGGGAGGATCCCACATTCCACGGAGCGGCTGGGCCCGTGAGCCATGGCCACTGGGCCTGCGCGTCCGGAGCCTGTGCTCCACGGTGGGAGAGGCCACAACAGTGAGAGGCCCGCTTACCGCAAAAAGAAAAAAAAAAAAAAAAAAGATAAAGACTGTCAGAGTACATTTTAAAAAATCCTCTCATATGCTCTTTACACAAAAAGCCAAAACAAGAAATTTATACACATTCAACTAACCTAAATGTAAGAATTTTTGTTCATCAAATAACACATCAAGAGAAAAAAAAAGTCACAGGAAATAGAAAACATTGTAATACACACAACTGAAAAAAGAACTAGTTTTCAGAATATATAAAGAATTTATACAAACAAATAAGAGAGAAAAAAAGACATCTGTAAAGAAAATAAAAGACATGAACAGGGAAATCCAAATGGTCAATAAACACATAGTAAGGTCCTTAATCTCACTGGTAATCAGGGAAATGTAAACCAATGAGTGGGACCACAGTGGGAAACACTATACACCAGCCAGACTGGTCAAGATTTTAGGGTCAGAATAATGGGAATTCTGATAACGTGTTGTGGGAGTATACCATTATGGAAAATAGTTGGTATCATTTAAGAAAGCTTAAGACACACTCTATATGACTCAGCAATTACAGTTCTTGATTTTACCTAGAGAAATTCATGCTTATGTGCCCCAGATATACATACAAGAATATTGCTAGTTCTTGTTCCTAGTGGCCGTGTCTGAAATACACCCAATCTAGGAAAACCCAACTGTCCATCAGAAGTAGAATGGATAACTAAATTGTAGTATATTCACACAATGTAATATGATGAAAGTGAAAAATATACAGCAACATCAGATGAATTACACATAAAAAATAGATAAAAGGTAAAAGAAGTAAGACAGAATTCATCCTACATGATTCCTTGTATATACATTTCCAAAGAAGTAACTTATGCTGCTTGAGAATACATAGGTAGGATGCTCCAGGTGGTAAAGCTATAAAGAAGACCAAGGACATGATTACCATACAAGTCAGGAGAGTGCTTACTTCTAAGGGTATGAATAAATAATTATTCATGATTAAAAAAACTCTTGGGCTTCCCTGGTGGTGCAGTGGTTGACAGTCCACCTGCCGATGCAGGGGACATGGGTTTGTGCCCCGGTCCGGGAAGATCCCACATGCTGTGGAGCGGCTGGGCCCGTGAGCCATGGCCGCTGAGCCTGCGCGTCCGGAGCCTGTGCTCCGCGGTGGGAGAGGCCACAGCAGTTAGAGGCCCACGTACTGCAAAAAAAAAAAAAACCTCTTCACACACTTGGACCTTCTTTAAACTTAAGCCACCAAAAACCTACAGCAAACATCATTCTTCATGGTGAAATGTCAGGAGCAACAATAAGACAAGAATGCCTCATTGCTGCCACCTGGGAGGCTCTTTCTTCTGTGTACATGCAAGGGATCCAGGTTTATATCACCCCTGAGGACACCTAAATGACGTCTTAAAAAAAAGTTTTATTTAACATAAATATATATATATATATATATATATTTTTTTTTTTTTAGGCTGTACCGCCTGGCATGCAGGATCTTAGTTACCCAACCAGGGATTGAATCCGTGCCCCCTGCATTGGGAGTGTGGAGTCTTAGCCACTGGACCACGAGGGAAGTCCCCGACATATATTTTAAATACCATAAGACTCACTGTTTTATTTAAAAAAAAAAAAAAGACTCATTGTTTTAAGTATACAATTCAATGATTTGTTTTGTTTTGTTTTGTTTTGTTTGCAGTACGCAGACTTCTCACTGTTGTGGCCTCTCCCGTTGCGGAGCGCAGGCTCCAGACGCGCAGGTTCAGCGGCCAAGGCTCACGGGCCTAGCCGCTCCGCGGCATGTGGGATCTTCCCAGACCAGGGCACGAACCCATGTCCCCTCCATCGGCAGGCGGACTCTCAACCACTGCGCCACCAGGGAAACCCTCAATGATTTTTAAAATCAGTAAAATTACAGGGTTGTGCAACCATCACCACAATTCTATTTTTAAAATGTTGTATCACTCCAAAAAGTTCTCTCAGGCCCATTTGCAGTCACTTCCTGTCCCTTCCCCCAGGTAACTACTAATCTGCTTTCTGTCTCTATAGATGTGGTTATCTGGACATTTCAAATGAATGGAATCATACAACAGGTAACCTTTTTATTTCTTTTACTTAGCATTTTTTTGAGATTCATCCAAGCTGTAGCATGTATCAGTGCTCCATTTCTTCTTATTGCTAAACAGTTTTCCGTTGTATGGATGTACCACATTTTGTTCATCCATTCTCCATTGATGAATATTTTGGTTATTTCCGGTCTTTGGCTATTATGAATAGTCTTAATATGAATATTTGTGTTCAAGTCTTTGTGTGCACATTTCATTTCTCTTGGGTAGATTTCTAGGAGTAGAAGTGCTAGGTCCTATGATAAAATTAATGTTTAACTTTCTAGGAAACTGCCAAAATGGTTGCACCATTTTACATTTCACCAGCAATGCACAGAGTTTTAATCTACATGGTTTTTAAAAGAATAACATATCCCGGGGAATTTTTTAAGTGATTTGTAAGAGCTTTTATATACCAAGGACATTAATTCTTATTTTTTTCTATACCACAAATGCCTGTGATTTAATGTTAACTAAAAAAAAAGGACAATTCCAACTAAGTAAAGAAAAAACTTCACAAGAAAAAAGATGAGAAGGAAATAAGCCAAAATACACATTATTGTTGCCATATGTAGAAAACAGATGAGTGAATTCTTTTTTTGCTTCTGTATTTTTCATTACTATCTGAACTTGCTAAACAAGCATATATTAATTTTCATTCTGGTTATCAAAGTAAGTAAAAAACTAAGGAGGGAGGAAAAGAAAAAAAAAAGGAAAGGAGGGAGGAAAGGTTAAGAGGAAGGGACCCATAGACTTGATCATCTCACCTCAAAAAGGAGGCTGAACGCATCCTCCTCCTGACTTGTGAGGTGGACCGACAAGCCTTTAATGAAGACCCCTTGAGGATTTCCCACGATGGTCATAGGTGTGACCGAGGGTCCAACGTAAGGCAGAGTGGACAGGAGATCAAACAGGCTCTCATTATAGATTTCCAGGTAGGAAACACGCACAGTGATGGCCTGTGTGGGGTGTTCTTCGATCATCTTAAAAACCTAGATGGGAGATTGGACAGCAGTCACTGAGAGCAGAACTCCAACAGCCAGCCAGTGCTAGGGGAGTTCTTACCTTAGGAGGGAATCCTTGCCCTAGAAGAATTTACAGTCTAGTTGGTGTGATGGTCATCAGCAACAATTATTAGTAGTTGCAGTCTATCGGGCAGTATTATCATCTTGTAGTTTTTTTGAGGCCTGACTTACAGATTGGCTAATACTTGTACAGTCTCAAGAAGTAGAGGCATGATGAACAGAAAGGACTCTGGAGTGAAGGTCTCTTGTGGGGTTTCACCACATATAAGCTTCTTTCACATTATCCATTTTTTAATTCTACCCTCATGATGCCACTGCGACTGAAGCAGGGCAGGGGCAATACCCATCTATGGTGGCTCAGCTACTAAGGGAAGAAGTCAAGCCAGAACTCAGCCTTCTCGACTCCTAATACCCTCCCCAGTGCTTATCAGCAGGTGACTTTGGGCTGGTCTTTTCCCCTCTCTAGACCTTAACTTTCTTATCTGTTAAATGGGGAGTTGGGCTGGATGATCCCTGAAGTCCCCACCTTGCTCTAACAGGCTAGATTTGTGCTATCCAATATGCTAGACACTAGCCACAGGTGGCTGCAGAGCGCTTGAAATCTGGCTCGTGTAAATGAGGAACTGGATTTTAAATTTTATTTAATTTTAACTAAAAATTTAAAACTGATACTAAAAATTTCAACTTTAAATTTCATGAACTGTAAATACAGAGCAACTCTTTCTGATGAATATTTAGTGTCTTAAATAGAAATGGGTTGTAAATGTGAAATACATACCAGATTTCAAAGACTCAGTATAAAGAAAAATAATGTAAAGTATCTCAATAATTTTCGTATTGATTACATGTGGAAATGCTATTTTGGCTATATTGAGTTAAATAAAATATATTATTATATATTATTTAAAAATAATTTCACTTGTTTTACTTTTTTAAATGTGGCTATTGGAAAACCTAAAATTGCATATGTGACTTATATTATATTTCTATTGAGCAGCGCTGGGCTAGACTATAAAGTCTAAGATGCTGAGATACTGAAGCATTGACAGTGGGATGTTAAGGATATTGCTTCAAGAAATTATCGCATGGATGGTCATACACTAGAGGGACATCTACACTTCTTACAGCACAGGGCTATAAAACCTCAAGATGCTTTTTAGGGAAAAGTCCTTTGCCTCCCACCTTCAAAAAGAGGGTCCTCACAGAACGCAGGCTAGCAGACTCTGAAGGAAGGCCCATCTGTCCTGTCTTCAGTCACACTTCCCAGACCCCCAAGGCTGACTCGGTCCTGAAAGCTCATGTCATGCCCTGCTTCTTCCCTTTGCTCTTTCTGGGGCTGTGGTGGTGCAAGAAACCAGAGCGGGCCAGTAAGGAAGCTCTGCAAGGGTTCATATCTCCCTCATTAAAACCAGGAAGGAACAGGATTAGGACCTCCGAATGCTCAATTACAGGGTCACAGACCATCAGAGCAGCAAGAAGCCCGTCAGCACATCTGACTCCTTCTTTAACAAATGAGGAAACAGGCTCAGCATGCGCGTAGGTCAGAGCCTGGAACCTAAACTCTTGGTTTACACACACATACACACACCCCACCTGTCTCCCCTACAGGCTGTCTCCCCTACAGGCTGCAACTCCTTTGAGGCTGGACCCCACTGTCTCCAGGAGCTCGCCTGGGATGGGCAGCATGTATGGTAGAAAGAGGGGACCTATGTGGCATCCCACCCACGGGCCCACTCTCTACCTGTTGTAGGGCACGAGGGAGGATCCCCCGGTGCTTGTAATTCTCAGTTGCCCCCGTCATGGTGTATGTCTTGCCAGCTCCCGTCTGCCCATAACACATGATGGTGCCTGCAAACATTTCAAAACACGTCTTGGTGACATCCAGAAAAACAGCTCCAAGGATAGCTCTCCCATCCCCCAGCATGCCCAGTGCCAGCTAGAACCCTAGTGTGAAGGTGGCCATCAGGAGCAGCCAAGGAAAGCAGGAATTCCTGCCATGGACGGTGGGTGAGCAGGGAAACAGGGATATAAATGGTCAAAACACAGACAGCTGCTCTGAATCTGTGGTCCATGTAGTGCTCTACTGCTTCCTCTCCCAAGAGGGGATCTGATCCTAGGGCTTCTGAGGAGATCAGGGAATTCCAGGGAACAGAGGAACTGGGAATTTTCCTAGAAAGATGAGGGAGATAAGAGCATTGAACTCAGCCCTCCTTTAGCAAGATCATGAACAGCCAGGCTCTCAGGGCTTGGCCTCCCTGCAGGACAGCCCAGGCAGGAGGAAAGAAGGGCTTTCAAAATCCCCAGGAAGAGATGGGAGTCAGAAGGGCATTTTCTGTTAGTGGTGGGAATTCTTTGTAGACTGCAAGTTCCCACTGGACTAAAGGGCTGCTAGTTGGTCCCAGGCCACTTTCAGAAATGGAACACCATGACCAAGCCCTGATCTGTCACATTGCCCTCTCTGGGAAGACTTTCACTTGTACCTCTCTCGTGCTTTAGGTCTATCATCACCAGGCTCTGGGACACAAACCAGTCACCCTGGGCTCTGGTTCCCATCTGCTCTTCTTCCTGGCTTGAGCAGCCTGAGCCAGACCCAACCCAAAGGCTGCTTCTGGGCATTTACAAAGCAGATCTGCCCGGGCAATGCTGGGCCATTGAAATCAGTGTTTGCCTTTGCCACGTGAATGCCCTAGTTCCTGGGATTGGTAGGTTTTACACAAGGGGTCTTAATTCAGCATCTGAGCTGGAGTCAGAAGCAGTGTCTATTAATCCTGCAGAAATGTACAGGAAGGAGTCAGTTCAGCTGGGACTCAGAGCCCATTTGTGGCTCCACAGCACTCAGAGCCCATGACTCTTAGCCTCCCCAGGCCTTAGCATCTTTGTCTCTACTTCCTCAGGGCCACATCCCCTCAGGACCAATGGGGACCATAGATATATATCACACACAGGATACATTACAACGTTTAGGCATCTACACTCAACGGACTTTTAAGCAGAAGACCTAAAACTTGCAAACAGGGAACATTCTAGTCAGGAGCCACCAGATGGGCAAAGTCTACAGACTGTGATATATTTTTTTCTATGGATTTTTTTTCTTTTTTTGGTCACACCGCATGGCATACGGGATCTTAGTTCCCCAACCAAGGATCAAACCCTCCCTCCCTACAGTGGAAGCACAGAGTCTTAACCACTGGACTGCCAGGGAAGTCCCTCTATGGATTTTTTAATCCTTTTAAGATTTTAAGTGACTTCCCTGGTGGTCCAGCGGCTAAGACTCTGTGCTCCCAATGCAGGGGGGGCAGGTTTGATCCCTGGTCGGGGAACTAGATCCCACATGCAGCAACTAAGACTTGGCGCAGCCAAATAAGTAAAGAAATGAATAAATAAATATATTTTTTAAAAGATTTTGAAACAGTCTTAGAGTGAACTAGTTTGTAAAAATTTCCCAATAAATTTTAATTTGTTAAAAAAGCTTTTTAGTTAAGCTTTTTTTTTTGCGATATGTGGCCCTCTCACTGTCGTGGCCTTTCCCGTTGCCGGACGCGCAAGCTCAGCGGCCATGGCTCACAGGCCCAGCCACTCCGCGGCATGTGGGATCCTCCCGGACCGGGGCACGAACCCGTATCCCCTGCATCGGCAGGTGGACTCTCAACCACTGCGCCACCAGGGAGGCCCTAGTTAAGCTTTTAAGAAAGTCAAACTGTACTCGTCTTTAGTGATATATGTAAATAATACTATACTACAATAGAATAGATTGATTGTGCTGGTAGAATGAATGGAAATATCTCCTAGCAGGTAGCCAAGAGAAAAATGTTTTGACTCCATCAAATTTATTATAAAGACATGTTCAAAACTAATATTTAGGGGATTTGAAACAGGATAATAGTTGAATTCCCATGACCTATAGAGAGTCAGGGCCATTTAATCTTCCTATGAAGGTAGGATCCCAGGACCATGGATCAAGCCATGCCCACAGTATCACCAAGCAAATAAGTTTTCCACCAGAAGAACATGGAGACAGACAAATAATCAAACAAAAGTTAGTAAGTGAAGTTGTATTTTATTCACCATAAAATACTTGTACCTCTTCCTGGGTGAGCGGGGGTTCCACAGGTTTTTATGTAAAACAACAGTTAATTAACTAAATTACCATTATAGCCATTGAAGGCTTGAGAAACCACATCCTTTGCGACTGTCTCATAAACCAAGTCCTGGGAGGCATCATGGAGAACTCCATCCAGCTTGAATGACCAGTCTGTCTGCTGGTTATTGACAACTCCTCTCCCAGTATCTTTTTTTAAGTGAATATCAATGGTCTAGGAAGAGAGAGAGATACTTGTTAAGAAACTGGTATAAAAAAGTCACTGATAGCCAAGGCCTGACCTAGAGGAAACAGAGGAGGTGAACTTTAGGAAGAACAGGGACTTGCACGTATTCTGGACGACCTTTGGGAGGTGGGAAGGAAGGCACTGTAGGGAGGCCACACATTCTCAAGGTGAAAGGATCAGGAGACTGGAGCACTTGCTGGTTTCAGCACATCTCACCCTAGTGTTCAGTGTGCTGTCTGTCTTGGTTCCCCCATTTCTGATATGGGGTCAAGCATATTTATTACATATCAATATTTATCACATTAAACAAGCTTTAGATAAATTCAGTAAGCACAGGGAGGCCTTGAATTAGGCCAGAGAGAATAGCGGGCTTGGTGACGGAGGCCTGGGCTTGAGCCCCATCTCCCTGGTGACTGGCGGTGAGGCCTCCCTCAGCACTGTGGTGAGCACTTACTTCCACACACACGCTATGGGCTAATGTGAGCAATGATGAAATGATAGCCACAGGAAAGGCTCTAGACTCCTCAGACACAGTTACTCACTGGTATTAAATTGAGGGTGACTACCTACTTGTAATCAGCAGATTTTTAGATGCAAAGATTTCTAAAAAATTTTTTTAAAGTTTTAGATCCCTCCATAGCAAGCCACTGTGGCAGGAGCTAGTTTAGAAACGTATTGGGTTAGGTCAATGGTAGATTCCAATCTTCGAAATGGGGACTTCTAATGTAAACAGACTCTCACTGGAATCTTATACTGGCTGCCCTAGTCCAGAAGCCAAGACATAGCCACATGCAGAAAAACTAAGATCAACAGAGAAAGGCTTGGTCTATTCATACATTAAATGCTCTGTGCTTCAGTCGTCACTGAATCCGTGTCCATCAGGGTGCACTTCACAGCGCTGCATGTGAGTTTCTTTCTGACTGCTAGGACTTTCGAACCTTGAGAAGTTGGCCTTTGAATTCCTCTCTTAATGTCTCCATGCTGCCCATAGTAGATCCACAAATGTGTGCTGAATGAAAACATCCCATAGTCTCGAGGTGTCCTAAGCCAGTCACAGCCTTCAGAAGAGTTGTCAGGACAGTGGTGGGGACAGGGTGATGGATAGATCTTTCCAGTTCTCTCCATAAGCGTTTCTCCCTCCCTTTGGTAAGTTCAATAATAATCATCTGAAGACATTCCTATTGTATTTCCTGGGAGATCTGATCACCAGCAAGTTTTATGAGTATGGACAAATGTCAGCTTCCTGTGTCAGATATAAGGACAAAGGTAAACTTTTTTTTTTAACTTTTTATTTTATATTGGAGTATAGTTGATTAACAATGTTGTGTTAGTTTCAGGTGTACAGCAAAGTGATTCAGTTATACATCTATCTATTCTTTTTCAAATTCTTCTCCCATTTTGAGATTGACATGTACACACTGCTGTATCTAAAATGGATAACCAACAAGGACCTACTCCCATTAAAAATGGGAGTTTCATGAGTTTCCTCATCAGCAGCATTGTTGGGGAGTGCTTTGGCCTTGAATGACTCTAGATTCCAACTGAACTTTTACCAATTCTGTCTTGGTCCTTAAAAGGTTGCTTGGAAACCTTAGAGGTTGTAGTGAGGAGGGACAGAGAGATGCCCAGGCAGGTGAAGGCAAACACACTGTACTTACTTTGTTGTCATCTCCATATTTGATCATTTCATGAGCAAAGTCATCAGTAGGTTTGACACGGACAAACGCATGAACTTTTTTCCTAGTACCCATTCTAGCTAAAAAGAAGAAAATAGCAAAATTTTCAGTAGTCATCCTCCAACAACCATTAGAATGGAGGTGTCATTCATCAAGATCAGAAAACATGATGTGCAGTCCATGTTTTCCTCTCCCACTGAGAGCCAGTCTTCCTTTTGCCCCCTAGCATTTCAGTGATCTGTCCACAGGATGCTGTTCAACAAGTCCGTGTACTTCCTACTTTACAGGGTGCCTCACCACTCTCCATCAACAACCCCCTAAGAGACCGAAATACAAAGCAAAAAGAATGCTCCCTTTAGTGGCCTAATTTTATTTTATTTTTATTTTTTATTTTTATTTATTTATTTGGTTGGTTGTGTTGGGTCTTCATTGCTGTGTGTGGGCTTTCTCTAGCTGCATCAAGCGGGGGCTAGTTTTCGTTGCGGGGCGTGGGCTTCTCATTGCGGTGGCTTCTCTTGTTGCAGAGCATGGGCTCTAGGTGCGTGGGCTTCAGTAGTTGTGGCACATGGGCTCAGCAGTTATGGCTCACAGGCTCTAGAGCACAGGCTCAGTAGTTGTGGCCCACGGGCCTAGTTGCTCTGCAGCATGTGGGATTTTCCTGGACAAGGGATTGAACCTGTGTCCTCTGCATTGGCAGGCAGGTTCTTAACCACTGCACCACCAGGGAAGTCCCTAGTGGCCTAATTTTAGATGTGGTTTCTACAAATGCTCCGTATCAGAGTTTACCTACACTTTGCCTTATTCATTATATTTTCCTCTAAAATACTATGAAATGCATTAGAACTAATTTTCTTTTTTTTCATTAATATAGCTTACTTCAGATGTAGCACCTCCTTCTCTACCTCCATTAGACTAACTTAGATCAGAAAAACATTCCCTGGAAGTACATTTAATCTAGCCCATAGTCTAATATTCTTTCTTCTCTGCCACTCCATTGAGAGAAAAATCTCAGTCCCCTACCTCCTCTGCCTCTCCTAAAACGTAATTATGTATATTCTCATCATTTTCTTTCAGGCAGGCACACATATATTTGTATTCCTTCATTTATACAATCACAAGTAATTACCATGTATAATAAAATGTTAAAATAAACATTGAATGTAGCTTCATCGAATAGGTTGAACGCTTATAGTAATAAATGACAGAGAGGGAGATTTAGGTAAATTAACTTCTTATTATGTGGAGTTTTCCTATAGTGGGAAAGACTTTCTCAAAGTAAGGACCATAAACATTATAAACTGTTAAGCAAGATGCCAACTAGCAGAGATGCTACAAAAGGGATTGTTTGTATTACAGGGAGAGTTAATTGATCTCTAATATCCTGTCCAACTGAAGTATTTCATAAACATTTTAAAAAATTGAATTGTACAGGAATTCCCTGGTGGTGCAGTGGTTAAGAATCCACCTGCCAACGCAGGGGACATGGGTTCAATCCCTGGTCCGGGAAGATCCCACATGCCCCAGAACAACTAAGCCATGCGCCACAACTACTGAGCCTGCTCTCTAGAGCCCGCAAGCCACAACTACTGAGCCTGCGTGCCACAACTACTGAAGCCCGTGCGCCTAGAGCCCGTGCTCCACAACAAGAGAAGCCACTGCAATGAGAAGCCCGCACACCGCAACAAAAGAGTAGCCCCGCTTGCTGCAACTAGAGAAAGCCCGCGCGCAGCAATGAAGACCCAACGCAGCCAAAAATAATAAATAAATAAATTTATTTTTTAAAAAACCAAAACTGGGCTTCCCTGGTGGCGCAGTGGTTGAGAGTCCGCCTGCCAATGCAGGGGACACGTGTTCGTACCCCGGTCCGGGAAGATCCCACATGCCACGGAGCGTCTGGGCCCATGAGCCAGAGCCTGTGATCCGCAACGGGAGAGGCCACAACAGTGAGAGGCCTGCATACCGCAAAAACAAAACAAAACAAAACAAAACAAACCCAGAACTCATTCAGAGTTAATGCTCCACAAAGTAAAAAACAGACTTTGAATAGAGACAATGCCTGAGGGTCAGGATGTGTGCTGCATCGTGCACTTCTCTTTTGATGTCCCTGACAGGGTTGGGCCAGTTCCATAAGAAATGAGGCATTTGCCCCAAAAATAACCTGTACTTTCATGGGGTAGGACAGAGGAGTTGAGGCTAAAGAAAACTCCTGGATACTTCTGAAAAAGACAACCAGCAAAGGAATTGCTGAATTTATGAAGAGGTAGGAAAACATGAGGGATAGGGAGCTGACTCAATTTCATCTTCAAATTGGTAAATAGCAATATCATCACCGTTGTTCAGGAAAAAATAGTTTGTTTGTGCTACTGCAAAGTGTTCTAACAAATAAACTGATCAGATGGTCAATATTTTTAAAAAGCTAATTTTCAAGACCTTGACTGTTAAAAAATTAATGTCCCTCCACATTTCTAGACACAACTTGTGGTGACCACTTGATTTCCTCATACAATTATCTTAGCTATCATCAAGTGGCATTAAGTATCTCTATAGAAGCAAATTAAATAGGCCCTGCTCTTTCAGTTTACAGTTTCAATGAAGTGGGCAAAATAAAACTCTAACCCCTATTACAAACCCTTCAGATGTCACATTAAATAAGCAAACTACTTTCACACCTGTCTACTGTAGAGTGTGAGTCCACTTCCCACATTCCTCAAGTAATTATTTCATGGAAGTCTTTTCCTGGCCACTGTGGGATCACTCAGATCTTTTAATTTTTAGAAAGTGAATCTGTAAGGTATTCAGGTGAGTAAGGATAATGGCTTGTCCAATTTCAGGTCTAAGATTTTTGTTTGCAAAATTGAGCTCTAGAAATAAAAAGCCACAAACAGCTCTAACAGGACTCCCAAACTGAGGAAACTTAAGAGGTGATCTCATCTCCAAGTTCACTTTGATCTAGGCTTTTGGGAAGTGGAGAGTAGAGAGAGGTGTGCTGACTCAAGCAAACACACTCAATTTCTAAAGTTCTTGGAACCATTCCCCATACCAGTCCGATGGCCCAACCTCCTGACCAGGAAAGTTAAGATGCTGCCCAGGGTGCCCTCTGAAAGGGACCATGAAGAAGTAGGGTGGTTGCTCAAGCCTCCCTGCTGGCAGCCCCTACCAACAGACAGCCCAAGGGCAGCACAGGCCAGCTTCAAGCATTACCCTCCCCTCAGAGCCTGCCCCTTTTCTGCCCAGCAATTTGCCAACATGCACAAGTAGTCATTCTATCTGTGCTTCCCAATTCTCCCCATGCTCACGCCCATGGCTCCAGGCACGCCAGGAGCCATATCCACCTGACACAAGCCTTCTCTATTAACTACATCCCTCCTGCAAATCCACTACCCAGCAGCCCCTCAACACCCAGTCATTTGGAGACCCCACGCCAACTTGCACTTAACTGAAATAATCCTTGTTACCGTTCTTACGCCACATCATTTGAGTGGGTTTCAGCTCCCAAATTAAATTCCAAGCTGTTTGAGGGACAGGACTGTGCCTTTTATTTCTTTTGAATCCCCCCTCAAAGTCCGGAACAGTGCCCAGCACAGAGTAGGTGCTTAAGAAATGGTGATTGGTGGTGATGGTCATGACTGGAAGTCAGAGGGTGGCGGAATCTCCATATGTGGGTCCATCTTCGGTCACAACTGAGAGAGTCCCAAAGGGCACATGATGTCACTCGCCCCCCTCACCACCTCCAACCCTGTCTACTGTAGAGTGTGAGTCCACTTCCCACATTCCTCAAGTAATTATTTCATGGAAGTCTTTTCCTGGCCACTGTGGGATCACTCAGATCTTTTAATTTTTAGAAAGTGAATCTGTAAGGTATTCAGGTGAATACAGCCCTTCCAGGAGGACACTGGGTTTCCAGACCCACTTGCAAGAAGCCAACTTCAGCCCCTCACCACGCTCTCACTTTTAGTAGGGTTCTTCTCTCTCAGGACCTTGTGGGGAATGCCTCTCCCTCGTGGACACCACCGTTAGATATTTCTGGTGTAAATAAGTGAATCTTTGAGTGGCCACCAAGAGCCCACTCTGCTGAAAGGCTCACAGTTTCCTCATTTGTTTTAGGGGTGGGAATGAACAGGTTGCCACCAAGCACCCCTGAAAGCTCAACAAAAGGAGAGGACCAGGTGGGTCCCTATCTTCCAGCGTTCCTGTCCAGAACAGAGGCTCTCAAGGAGAACACTCATAGTCACCAGCAAGGTAGCAGCATCTGAACCCCCCAAAAGAGGGTCCAAACGCACCTGGCCTTGGACTAAACAAAAGACTCGGACCCAGGCCAAACTGGTCTTTCTCCTTTTTCTAACCCAACATGCTGGACCCCTGTGTGGTGTCTGGGAAGCAGTGGGCCTTGGGACCATTCCTGTGCCTCTCTGGAGCGATTTCTGCATTTGTAAAGCGAAGGGCCGGGATGGCAATCCCGAAGCCCCCTCCAGTTAGAAAACTGAGTACAGAAGAGTCCAGAAGACCAGAGATCTCTGAACCTCAGGGGCGACGTAGGACCCTCGTGGGGCCAGGGAACTTTAGATCCGAAAACCCTAAGCCGCATTAAGGCTTAAAGGGTCCCCTCGACGCCTCACCCTCCTCCGCCCGGGCTTCACAGATCAGCGAGCCAAAGCTGGGGGACACCCGGGTGGAGCGGATTTCAGCAGCTGCCCGCCGCCCGGGCGAACACTCCCTTTCCGGCCTTCCTTCTCCCCACCCGGACCGCGCGTGACCCCTGCTTACCGCTCCGGAGGCTGGAGCCCTTCCGCAGCCCGACCACTGCATTAGCAGCTACAGAAGAAACCCGGCAAGCTCGGCTGCCGGGCTGTGTACACAGTCGCCGTGGCAACAGGCTGCTTCCGGAGATTCCGGAAGTAGGGGTGGTGGCGGAAATGAAGTCCGCGGTCCTCTGTTGAGATACGAGTAAGGCCAGGGCCGAATTAGGAGGACGGGAGATGAGACCGATTAATCTAAAAAGACTACGGCAGCTGCAGGTGCGAAGCCAGGGTAGGGGTAGCGGGGGAACGAAGGATGCGCAAGAACCAGGAAACGGGGCAGC